TGGAAAGGCGTGCTAAGAGGCTTATTGGTGACCCGAATTTGGTTAAAACCAATCTTAACAGCCTCGAACACAGACGTAAAGTAGCCAGCCTTTCGATTTTCTACAGGATACATTTCGGAGAGTGTGCGCAGGAATTGCATAATTTAATTCCCCCCTCTCCCTTCCACCATCGGACAACCAGACGTTCGGCCAGTCTCCATCCTTTCGTTGTTGACTTACCACGCATTCGAACCAAACGGTTCACCACGTCGTTTATCATGCGTACAGCAAAAGAGTAAAAAGAGTTGCCAGCATCTGTCTTTCCATCCGATTACAGTGTGGGTGTCGTCAAGGCAATAGTTAATAGGCTTTTGTTAAGTCAGTGCGCTTCACCATCTTAGGCTACATCACACTTAGCATCAGGTGGGATCATAGATAAGCGCTGGCTTAGTGGAATATTAAAAAAAAAGTTCAATCGCCAGAAGACACAAGTTTGCACGTATACCGCTAAAAAGAACCCCTTTGTCGTATCTCCTCAGTTTTAAGGCACTCCCCTTTCTGCCTCAGCTAGCATCGGAATCTTCGGCGTCGACATATCGAATAGTGTGCAGTTTTGGGGTCACTTGGAAGGGAATGCCAAATTGGCCTATAAAAAGCTTGGCGTGTTCAGCAGAACGGGGCAGTATTTCATGTCGGCACATCGCTTGCAACTTTACAAAGCGCAAATTAAGCCTCTTATCTCTGGGCCGGGGCATGCCAGTGTCAGCTTCTTCCACTTGACCGCATCCAGCGCAGAGCAGTTCGAGTCGTCGAAGTCCGAATTCTTTCTGATCTGTTCGATTCACTGGCACTGCGTAGGGACGTTGCATCCCTTTCCATTTTCCATCACATCTACCTCGGGGAGTGCTCTGAGTTTCGGTTCAATCTCAGCCGCCATATTTCATGGACCCACTTCGCGTCAAAAATCACGATACCATTCTCTCAGTCAGAAAACTTGGCTGCACTTTTAATAACTCTCTTTTATAATTCAATACAAGATCGTAGATATCAGTGTAATTTATACTGATGATCTAGTTGATTGGGAGTTATTAATAATTACTTTAAATAAAAGACAGGATTTTTAGTGTATGTATTTGGTTACAGTCGACAGCAAAGTATAGCCGAATTTAATCATAATGATTTGTTAGATTCAAATTATTTTTCTTTATTAATATCAGTATCGGTTAATTTAATTTCGTCTATGTGGTTACCTTGCACTCTATTTAGAAAAGCTAATATTTTTAGTAGCATCTTGTACGTATACAACATGATAAGATTTACTCCAATTCCTCATTAATGAGATGTGAAAAATGGTAATGTCTTTTGTTAGAATTCTCTGAACATAACAAATAATTTTCTATCGTGTTTAGACATGACTTCTAGTTAAACATTACACCTCAGAAGTGGTCATTATTGATTTTTGCGGAAATAGAGGCCAACCTCTATCCGCGCAAAAATCACGAGCATCTGAAATTAAAAAAAATCTGGTAATCTCCCTCACTTTAGTCCTAAAGAGAACAAAAATACTATAACATATAATTTCATAAATTTTTAAAAATATTGTGTTCTGTTAAGAATATTCATCATTTATTGCGATATAATACTAAAACTAATGACATTGAAATAAAGATGCATAGCGTAATTTTAATAGAAAACGTTAAATATAATCAAAGTCAATTTAAATATATAACGTCAAATTAAACTAGATATCGAAACTTAATTTTAAAGTGAAGATAACGCATAATTAATTGAAACAAAACTTACATCTATTATTTATAATATGATCGTTACTGAAAGATGAAAAAATATGAGGGAGTACGTTACTAGGCAGTCGCGTTGATGCAATGAATATATCGTTCATGAGTCTAAAAACCTTGGGATTTAAACAGAGGGCAGCCGTACAAAGATGGGTGCAAGCGGGGTAAGGAAGAGGAGGACATTACAAAACTTGGTTTTAACCGGTTAATTCTTACCACCTAAACCGAAATTTGTGAAAAACCGGTATTCCGCAAAAACAATGGTAGAGCCACGCGGCAGCTTTTGCTGTCGCACGGATGGGCCGGCTCGAACCGGGGTAGTACCACAACCTCACAGAAAACCAGCGTGCAGGTGGCCGGAGGCCCTTTTTACTGGAAATGAGGCGGCATTCCATCTTAGTCCTCACGGGTGACAACGCATCTACATTTTGATTTGTAACAGAGGATAGATGTAGATGTCTATGGGCCGCAGCAACCACTTACCATCAGGTGGACTGAGTGCTCGTTTGTCACCCTTATCCTATAAATTTTTTTTAAAAAAAACGGTTTTGGGGTCAATGGCCGAAACCGGTTTAGAATTTGAACTGGTTTCCGAGCCCTGTATGAAGATAAGTTATGGATACACAGTGTTGATGAAGTATGTAGTAGATTAAAAGGTTCACTATGAAGAGGTCTAATTAGGAAAACATCTAACTGTGTAAAATGACTAATGAGCAAATCGTTAGATAATTAAATTGTTTGGACACTTATCTACTCAACCGTTCACGGTGACTACAGTCCCCAAAAAAATTCTTGCCTCACCTGTCCATGGTGACTATAGTCACCAATGGTTCTCTTTCGGTTTAAACTTGTACAGCGCAAAAGATAGCTGTTATTAATACAGTAAAAAAATATAGATGGTGCTATTTGAAATTTGTCATCTGTGAAAGTGAATTTTATCTACATAATAGTAACAAAATATTTCGAAAAAAAAGTAAAAATTTAAATATCGCCATTTTTGTTTGCGGATTGTTAAAGTGTGGGAAATTTGATCAAAAATGTGGTAACTTTTCTGTTTTTATATGTTCTTTCTAATGTTATTGTACATCAAACTAATTGTGAAGATATTTTCTTTAGGAAGTATGTATCATAACGAGAATTCCAAAACATTTACATATAATAATTTAGGTCGAAATTTTAATCACTATTCGCAATCATCGTTTATTGATTATATGTTGTTTAAGATGTATTCTAGTTAGTTTATACATGAAAAATACCATTCCTTTAATTTTTTTTTTGCACAAACTTAGGAATTTAATTTTAAACAAATAGTTTCTTTTTTGAATATTCTAATTTACACAAACTGCATAACTCTGAAATGTAAAAAATAATATTATTCTGACCTCTGAAATGTAAATATCACTAATCACTATCAAATTAGATCTGAAGGAAGACTTAGGTACTTTTTAGTTTCACATAGTAGAACAATTTGCTGTCAATTGAATAGGCAAAAAGGCATAAGTAGGTGTACACGCCCTGAGCTGCCCCAACGAAGGTAGACTGGACTAGGGCCCATCAGTAGCCCAATCGACGGCCAGCAGAGGACAGGGCTCAAAATACCTATGGACAATTGACCTATCATACTACACAATAGGGAGAAGGCTAGGTAAATAAATAGTACGTACCTGGACCCGAATCTAAGACCGCACCAAGGCTCGGTCAGGCCGTAGGTAGTTGTAGGTGCATGTAAAGTGGTGTTTAGTGGTGTGTATATTGGTAGTGGTGCAGCGGTTTGGTCCCATGCTGCATCACTCCAGCAGGCGTCACCAAGTGACAACTTCTTTCTTCTTGTCACTATTTCAGTCTATCAACTTTATTGTACATTTAACTAACTTCAACTCAACTAATTCAACGTTCATCGTAAAATCAAACACGTGATACCCGACACAAGTAACGAACAGTAGTTCAATATTCAAGGTTTCGGATTCATTTATCACCAAATTACAAATAGGGAACTAACGCGATCTCTTCACGAGTCACAAAGTTCAGCGTTACATTCAACAACTAAATTCCTTCGTACTACATTAAATACTACGCCGCAATAAGAATTCAAAATCAACCTAGCTGACATGCAAAGTAACTAAAGAGTCAACATACAAAAGGCTCTTAACGCGACGGTACAATTGCAACGAAATTACTCTAATCACTCAAATTCAAAATAAACCTCTTTGTCACGAACGTACAACTTAGGCAAACTAATCCGAGGCGGTCTTCACGAAACCACAATTTAAGTAGCGAAGTAACGCGCACAAATACTAAAAATCTAGACCATAAAACCAAAACTGGTCGCAAGAAATCGCTGCCGCGGTCACTAAAAATACGTTAACGTTACGACGGCGCCGCTGCACTCCAACTACTGTCTTCATCCCGCGCGTCGAGCGACTGCAAGCAGCACGCCCCCCCCACCCTCGGCGGCGTTTACCTCACCTCACACCATCGGGTGATACACTAAGTCGAATGTGATTGGTTGGCGTGTCAATGCCTATATTTGGGCCTAAACAGTAGGTATAGGAAAAATAATATCAAACAAGTATGATAAACTTAAAACTTATTGTTTTTTAAGAACATTAAGTCAAAGTATAATATTTGATTAGAGGGGTATAAGTCTTGATCAAATATAAATATTTGGCTTTTATTATCATAGAGCTTTAGAAATGTGACATGGATTTTATATCATCATCATCATTGTTAGAGGACATCACAAGTTCACTGCTGAACATAGGCTTACCCCAAAACTGCCAAAAACACAATCCTGAGTCATCCGCATCCATCGATTTTGTGCATTCCTTACTCGTTCATAACTCCATTTTGTGGGGGCGGCCCTTCATTTATTATTTTTATTGAGTGGAGTCCCAGTACATCCCCATGTACATATTATCTTTATATATAAAAATTACGTGTCACGTTGTTTGTCCGCGATGAACTCCTAAACTACTGAACTGATTTCAATGTAATGTGCACACTCTGTGCAGTTTGGTCCAACTTGAGAGATAGGATGGTTTTTATCCGGATAAGTGTCACTCAATATTTTTTTATCACGAATTGAAGGATTTTTTATATGAAGGGTCGTTGAAAAGGGCAGAAAAACATCTGCCTGGTCAGCTAGTATACATATAAAAGATAAGTTTATTGAAAATATTTATTGAAAAGATTTTCCAACAGATGTAAGTATTTTCGTTATTTTAGGAGGTAGAAGCTATGAAAGTTGTTATACCTGCCGAAGAAGAGTTAGGGCAAAGTGGTCATCAGACACTCTGTTTTCTGACACACGCTGCCCAGGCTGATTTTATAGCCCCTGATGCCATGGCTAAACTGAGACAGGTAAGTTTATGCACAGAAATAATTTATTATTTCTATTCTATTATTTCTTCTTACTTTTTTGTAAAACTCCTAAAATCGATATGATAGCTAAAATTGAAATAACTTATTTTTGCACATACATTTTTAACTATTCTAAGCCAGCGCTTGACTAATGTCCCACCTGATGGTGAGTGGTGATGCAGCCGAAGATGGTTAAGTGCACTCAAAACCCTATTCTCTCCTGCCTTGAAGACACCCACTTTGCACGGAAAGACTTACTCCACTCTTTTTAATAGGCTGTAATATTGACGATACTTACAGTTTGTCTAAATTTTTATGCAATTGGTTTGTCTTCAGAAAAATCCAGGGACAGTCCGAGTAGCCGAGGAAGATAAGGGTTGGCGTCAGACTACAGCTACAGCGTGGGCTGGTCGTGCCACGCGGCTTCTTTCCCCGGCGGCGGCGAGGCACTGCGCCACCGCCAGAGATCGCGTCTATCTGAGAGCCGCAGACCTCACGAGATGGGCACCCAGACCAGGTGAGACGCAGTCAGACGAAACAGAAGCAAAGAGAGGTCATGTTATTATTAGTCTTGAACTATTTCTATTAAATGTTACCTGTATTTTCTCCTGTATTGTGGGGGGCAGTATAAATACATAAATTTCACGAGGACAATCATCCAGACCCATAACAATTATTTGTAGGCCATACAAATACTTGTTCCGTACGGGATTCGAACCCGCGACTTTAGTGCTGCAACTCATTGCTAAGCCACAGCGCCACCGGGCCGTCATTCTTAATTGTTATATAATTTTAATGTTCTGTTGCAATTTTAGCAAAGGGAACAACGGTGGAGTGGAGACATTGCCTGTTTGTCTTTCTTTCACAAAGGTTTAATGTAGCAGGTATCGACATAGATGATTTAAAACTGACATAGTTATAAAATGCAATACCGAAATATACACGTAAATATAAAAAGTTAGCTCACCGCAAGTTTGTTGACAAACGAGCACACAGTCCACCTGATAGTAAGTGGATACGGTGGCCCTTAAACACCTATATCTATTCTCTTGAGGTTGAAGATTGAATGCGTCACAGTAAAAAGAGTCCAGTTCTCGTCACTTACATTTATGATGCTACTTCCTTCCCCGGACAAGTCGACCAATACTTGTTCCACTTATTTACATTTATAATAATAATAATATTTAATTTGCATAAAACATGGTATATAAAGGGTTTTACATGACGTTATAGATCAGCATAATTTGCTACGGTTATACGTAGCATGCAATTTTTTTTATACATTAATACTTATGGCTACAAAATTCCCTTATGCTATAGAAGTTACTTTCATTCAACCATTGAAACAGTTTTAAATTAAATAATTTGATATTTAATAGTTTTAAGTTATTACACACACAGATAAATAAACTACTTTTGTTATATTTTCTTATTCTGGGTTGTAGTTTAGTACAAGCCTATATGGATCCCGGCGACTGCAGGGATTTGCATCATCTACCGTTGTAAACAATGTTTTGTGCTTCTGTACAAACATGCATATTTCATAGATGTAAAGTACTGGTAGTGGTAACAAGCTAAGTTTTTTAAACATCGGTTTACACGATTCATTCCGTCTTAGCCCACTTATTGTTCTAATGCATTTTTTGCGCTATGAATGCTTTATTTTGTTCACTGCTGTTACCCCACATTATGATACCGTAGCGCAGCAGACATGACAGCGGTTTTTATGTTTGTTATGTTTTTGATTTGTTTAAGAACATCATCATTCATCATCATTACAGCCCTTCACAAGTCCACTGCTGAACATAGGCCTCCCCCAAGGAATGCCACAAAGCACGGTCTTGAGCCACCTGCATCCATAGACTTCCTGCATGTCTTACCAGGTCGTCACTCCATCTAGTGCGGGGTCGCTCTACACTTCGCCTACCGGTATGAGGCTGCCACTCCAGAACCTTTCTTCCCCATCGGTTGTGGGTTCTTCAAGCTATATGGCCGGCCCACTGCCACTTCAGCTTACTAATCCGTTGGGCTATGTCTGTTACTCTGGTTCTACTGCGGATATCCTCATTTCTAAGTTTATCACGCAGAGACACCCCGAGCATAGCCCTCTCCATAGCTCGCTGAGCGACCTTGAGCTTCCTCATACGGCCAGCAGTGAAGGACCACGTCTGGGATCCATAAGGCATCACTGGCAACACGCACTGGTTGTACAATTTCGTTTTCAGGTTTTGAGGTATGTCTAACGAGAAGATGTGTCGTAGTTTTCCGAACGCTGCCCAGCCGAGTTGAATCCGTCGATTGACCTCTCGGTCGAAGTTGGACTTACCTAGTCGGACTATTTGTCCCAGGTAAACAGACTCGTCAACAACTTTGAGCTTAATGCTCCCAACAACTACCGGCATAGGTGTGACATGGACGTTAAACATGATTTTTGTTTTGTCTTAAGACCTATCCGTTGGGAGACACTATTGAGGTCATTGAGCATAGTGCTTAGGTCCTCCAGCGATTCTGACATAACGACTATATCGTCGGCAAATCGAAGGTGAGTGATGTACTCGCCATTGATGTTAATACCGCATCCTTTCCAGTCCAGTAGCTTGAAAACGTCTTCCAATGTAGCGGTGAAGATTATAACGTCACCCTGTCTTACACCTCTCTGCAGTTGGATAGGTTTTGTACTCTGATTCTGTACTCGGATAGCCATCGTAGCTCTACTGTACAAACACTTCAGCACTTCGATATACCGACAGTCAACTTGGCACCACTGAAGGGACTGCTGCACCGCCCAAATTTCGACGGAATCAAAGGCTTTCTCATAGTCCACATACGCAAGGTAAAGTGGCAGATTATACTCCTCCATTTTCTGTACAATCTGCCGTAGGGTATGCGTGTGGTCTATGGTACTAAAGCCTTTTCGGAAACCGGCTTGTTCAGGAGGCTGTAAGTCGTCAAGTCTGCGTGCGAGGGGATTCATAATGACTCTCGAAAACAGCACGTAGACGCGGCTCAGAAGGGAAATCGGTCTGTAGTTCTTCAAGAGAGCGTTGTCGCCTTTCTTGAAGAACAAGACCACCGCACTTCTGCTCCACGCCTACGGAGTAGTGCCACCATGGAGGACGGAATTAAAGAGCTTCTGAAGGACTTCAAGTACCGGTTTTCCACCCGCTTTCAAAAGCTCCGCTGTAATTCAATCCTCGCCCGGGGACTTGCCGTTTTTAAGGTGCTGGAGAGCCATTCTAATGTCGCTCAGACTGACGTCCGGGATATCTTCGGAATAGTGTCGGATAAGACTCGCTCTTGGATCGTTACTCACACTTGCGTGTGCCTCCAACGATAACGTGTACAGCTGCCCATTGAACCTCTCAATCTCACTCAAAATCTCAGGTGTCCCGGAAACGATGCTGCCACACTCGGCCTTCAGCTTTGACAGTTGGCTCTTTCTGGCAGATAGATCTCTGGCAAAGGCTTTGGAGCCTTGGTTCCGCTCGATCGCTTCTTCAATATAAGCTGTATTGAAGTTGCGTAAGTCCCGCCGCATGCATTTGGAGATCTGTCTGTTCATTTGCCTGTATGCTGTCAAATCTGTTGAAGAATGTAGCTTCATCTCCCGTCTAACAGCCATGAGATTAAGAGTGTGATCGGAGAGTTTTTGTGTTCTTCTGCGGCGGGTCTTGCAGAAGTTAGCTCCAACCGCATGGACAGTTTCCACGAGCTTGTCTTTCATATCGTCCACTTCATTGCAGTCTTCTAGCCACTGGAAACGGTTTTGTAACTCGAGCTGAAAGGTTTCGGGACTTTGGAACAGAGCACGAGGGGGACGGAGCGTTGACTTCATTAGACGAGACCTCTCCAACTTAATGTTTAGGTTCAGTGTGCTTCTAACCATTCGGTGATCGCTACCAGTTTTCACCCTCGCGATCACGGAGACATCACTGAACAGTTGTCGTCTGGTCGTCATAATGAAGTCAATCTTATTTTTTTTGTCGAACCGTCGGGGCTCGACCAGGTCCACTTCCTGTGAGGCCGCTTCTGGAAGAAATAGTTCATCATAAAGAGTCCCTCTTTCTCCATGAAGTCTGCCAGCTGCTGGCCCCTTGGGTTCCGTTGCCCTATTCCAAATTTCCCTACTTTCAGCTCACCGTTCTCTCTTGTGCCTAGTTTAGCATTGAAGTCTCCCATTAACACCGTATAGTGGGTTTTGGAGGAATGCATGGCTCTAGAGATATCGTCATACATTTCCTCCACCTCCTGATCTGGATGTGCCGAGGTTGGTGCGTAAACCTGTATGACCTTCAGCGAATACCGTTTGGTGATTCTAAGTATAAGGTACGCAACCCTCGTCGACACACCCTTATCTTTACAACGCTGTTAACGAGAGACTTGTGGACGATAAGTCCGACACCTCCTTGGGACAGATGGTCGCTCTCCCGGTGATAGAACAAGTTGCCGGATTCGAGGATTACCGTGTCCTCCCCTCTCTTCGGACCACGGATAATCCTATAATATACCAGCGTAAATTGTCTATCTCTTCTTCCAGCTCCACGATCTTCTCGTCAGTCCTCAGGGTGCGTGCGTTGTATGTTGCCAGGTCGAGTCGTTTTAGGTGGCAACCGAACCTCCACCGGAGATTTTTAGCAGCCCCTGCCCCACCGTTACCATGGCCACCGTAGCCAGGAATAGCGGGCCGGCCGGGGACTGAGAGCCGTCTCTTTGTTGCTCTCAACATTGGGGGGTATTTGCCATAGTTGCCACGCTTGGCGAGCGGGTTGGCAACCGCTGTTTTTTTTATTGTACTTTTACTGTTATCAGGAAGATGCTGCTGCCCATGTCCTGCCTGTTTCCCTTTGTCGCCTTTTACGACATCCACGGGACGATATGGGGTAGGGGATATTCTTAACCGCCACTACACGGCAGTTTAAGGACGTACACGAATTTATTTATTACATGTGGTTTCCAATTAATATCATCATCTAGAATTAAATCTAAAAATTTCGTATGTCTAGCTGCTTTTAATTTTTGGTATGTTAAGTTTAAGATTATATTTATTATTAGTGCATATTATTAAATTGTTTATATAAAGATGTGTCTAAATTTATTTTTAAATTATGTATGTCAACCCAATTAATTAAATTATCTATTGCATTATTTATGTCAGCCTTGGTCACTGATATTATTAATTTTTTTTTATTGGAGGTCACGATAATTGATTTGCTGCATGAGCGTGACTAACGTAGTAGAGTTTAATAATTCAAGCAATAAAGGATTTAAGATTCACAACCACTAGCAAAGGTCGGTTACATGATTTTAACCTTATTGTATAAATAAATTGTATCATATTACTCTAGGCATGGAGCAATCGACATATTCCTCAGAAGTGACTCCGTTTCCGGCCCATGCGTTATCACCAGACGCAGTGGACGGAAAACCTGCAGTCGGTCCGTGTGTGGCAGAAAATGATACAGCAAAAGAATGTATATGTCACTTAGAGGTAATAATGTGTATATATTTCTGATTGCAGCATCTCTTCAAGCCATTAAGAAATCAATATAAGAAATAAAATTTCGTGAGAATCTTTATAAAGAAAACTGTTCTTTTCTCTCCAAAAGGGTAATTATGGCAAAGGCATCACTCACAAATACAGTTGCAAAACAATTTTTTTTTAATAGGATATGGTTGACAATCGATCACACAGTCCACCTGACGGCAAGTGGATACTGTGGCTCATAGACATTTATCCTCGATAAAGAATCAATATGCAGATGCGTGGTCACCCGTGAGGACTAAGATGGAATGCCTCGTATTCCTTTCACCATATGAAACAGCAACATGAAGCTGCTCTGTTACGATGGTATTCTGTGAGAGCGTGGTCCCACCACGTCGAGCTGACCAATTCGTGTTACAACCATAATATAGCTGCAGTAAGACTTGACTCGAACCACGAACGACTTGTGCTGAACACAATAAACAATCTTGTGCTGGACACAATCCCCCATGCTTGGCAGCCAAATTAGTGATCACATTACCGAAAACTACAGTCGCCTAACGGTAGGGTATGGACCACGAACTCAAAAAGGTCGTGAGTTCGATTCCACCATTGGACTACTGCCGTGAACAACCCCAAACACAAGCATTTTAAGCTTATCAGGAGTAGTTAACAGGAATATTAGTAATGTTAGTGGTAACGCTAGTATGTTTTCTTTAAAAAAATGTCCAATATATTAACCATCTTGTCTTGTATAACATATTTATACACCTTGGATATAGTTCATATACCAGATGTTTTACTGTACCATAAGTCAGAGGCCACACTTCGGTTAGCATGATGGTTTCACTTATGCTGTCACCATCTTGTCTTCTTTCCCATTGCAGCAAGGATGTCATTATCATCACCTAGTTATATCATCATCATCATCATTACAGCCCTTCACAAGTCCACTGCTGAACATAGGCCTCCCCCAAAGAATGCCACAAAACACGGTCCTGAGCCACCTGCATCCATCGACTTCCTGCATGTCTTACCAGGTCGTCACTCCATCTTGTGGGGGGATATATATAGATATATATAGATGATGATAATACAAATGTAATATATATATATATATATATATATATATATAGATGATGATAATACAAATGTCTCGAACACACCTGCTTTAAATTCATTCATCCATTTATTACAGCTCATCAAAGTTCACTGCTGCCCTTCCCGACTTTTAAGTACCTAGTGATTTACCATGTGCTCGGCTGTGAAGGTCATTGTGAGGAAACCTACCTGCATGTCTCAGGGATAATAAACATGCGTGAGTGTCGTGGAACACTCGGTTGGAACGAAGTTCCTTTCGTAGTATATTATTGTTGATAAACGTATTATATTATTGATTAAGAATACAAATAAATGAATTACTAGTGTCTATGAAAATGAAGCATCAATTAAAATATAACAATATTTCTTTCATGGCAAGTTAAGAATTATTCCATCTCGCTTCCTTATAACCGCCAAGGCCGTCTACACTATGTTATGGGTTGTGTCGGAAAAATCTTAAGACTTTTTTCACGCCTAGCCCCCATCCGCCAAATTCGTACCGTTCGATAAAGAACTTCGTTCCAAAAATATTTTGAAGATATGTCAGTGTAGTGTGTTCGGACGACATGACCGCCAACACCAACTAAAGCATATTGCGGTAGACTTATTGCTCCCTTACCCTCATGTGTCAAGACATGAAAAGAAGCCTGTGTTAAGCTGTAAGATGTAGTAGTGTAGCTAGTATAAACATCCTCGTCTTTCTAGTTGTTCTTCTAAATATAATGTTTTCCTAAATATTGCAATATGTAAAACATAATTTCTCACACAGGTTTGTGTAAATTGGTACCCCTGTGGTTTGAAGTACTGCAAAGGAAAACCTCAAGGCGGCCTCAGCTACCGCTGCGGAATCAAAACTTGCCACCGCTGCTATCGTTACCACTACTACGTTCGCCGACGCGACGCCTGTCTCAGCTATACGTGACAGTGCGCTTTCTGGCCACTGGCCATTGCTACGTGCCAAACTATGCTACTGTTCACTTTTGAGCGCAGCTTTCCTATGTTTTTACAAGGACTTCGTTTTGTATCTTGACAGAACTATGTGTCACTGTAAATATTTATGATGCTAAGGAATTGTATCTATTGTGATGATGATGTAAGAAAATAAATGTTACTTTTTTTATGATGTTTATTTATTTTATTCTGCTATATTCATATTATACTAAGTGTTATTCTATTTGACATAAAAATAATTAACAATACTAAAAATATAATGATTTAATGGCATCCAGGGAATGGCTCATGACGGTTTTTTCTCAGTACAAACTGAATTTTTCTTTCCATATCTTCATTATAAATTGCCTTGCACTTTTCATGGTTCACACGTCTCCTTGTCTAAAATTAATAAACTGTATTAGAAGTTTTATAAAAACAAATTGCAATAAAAAATAGAAGAAATAATAAAGGTAGTTAAAAATAATTTCTTCTCAATTTCATATTAAATCAAAGCTCGTCTTTATTAATTTCATTCATTAATAATAAACATAAATTAAAAACAGGTTGTTTGAAATTCTTATTATACAAATCTTATTAATGTTAAACCAATGCACTAATTTTGATATAGCATCATTAACTTCATCATATTTAGATCATCAGCAAATAATGTCTTATCATGATTATCCCCTACAAGGAAAGGCAAGTCATTAATATAGACTAGAAATAGGAATGTGTGTGAAATGTTGAACTGACACATTTCAACAAAAAGCAAACAATTTAACACATGCATCCTGCCTGTATTGGCATACGGGAGTGAAACATGGGCTTTAACAAGAAACATATCAAACAACAAACTCCCCATATGCCAACATGCCAAGGAAAGGAGTATGGTAGGGATCAAAAGAATGGGCAGAATAAAAAATAGCATCAGAAACAAAACTAAGGTCCAGGATATAACTCTAAAAATAAGAAAACAAAAATGGAAATGGGCTGGCCACGTGATCAGAGGTAAAGACAAATGGAGCAAAATAATAACACAATGGTACCCAAGGGATGGAAAAAGAAGGAGAGGTAGACCACAGAGAAGGTGGGATAACGATATTAGACAAGTCGCAGGAATTAATGGGGTAGAGTGGCTATAGAAATGCCAGCATGGAGAAGATTGGAGGAGGCCTTTGCCACCAGACACACAAAAACGGAACAAAAAAAAAAATATATGAATAACAAAGAAATACTATTTTTTGTCTGACAAAAGGCTTATTATTAAGGGGTATCTTTAAAGTTTTCTCATCTGGTTGGGCTGTATAAATATATCATTGTAAATGAAAATATAAACATACATAAATATCAATAAAATTAAATAAATACATAAATAAATAAAAACCCAACCAGATGGAAGCCCTCGGCAGGGGAGACCAAACGGCCGAGGGTTAGGGGGAAAGGGAAAAAAACCGGCGGACGATGCGGCCGGTATCGAGGAGCACCGCCTTTTGCATTTGAGTTTGGAGTGGACCGTCACGGAGTCCCAGTCAGCTTCTCGGGTCATCTGAGGTGACTAACCTGTTCGCAGAAACGACTACACGTATAATTTCTGCCGGCAGTCCACCCCCACATGTTGGTCACCTCGTGAGCCAGGTCTAGATATATTGTTCGCTTATCTGTTTCGGCTTTCACGAGGTTCTCGTCATACGGAATGGTAATGTCGACCAAAAATATCCTTGACTGTGCCCGGTCCATCAGCACAATATCAGGCTTATTCGCAAAAATAGTCCTGTCTGTGATGATGGCCCAGTCCCAGTAGAGCCTGGCGCGGTCATTTTCAAGCACGGCTTCCGGCATGTACTTATAATAAGGCAGTTTCCGATCCACGAGACCGTATTTCAGAGCGAGCTCCTGGTGTAGAATCCTGGCTACTATGTTGTGCCTATGCAAGTACTCAGAGTTAGAATGCGCCGAACAACCAGAGCTGACATGCCTGTGACTGTGACAGTGACTCATCAGGATAGCGACAAGCTCGACATATGTCGACGGTGCCATCCCTTAGAATGTATCTCCGATAGTTGTTGGTCTTAATAACCTGATCCTGTATTGCACAGACAAAACCCTCGGTTTCACCGAAGAGGTCACCAAAACGTAGCCAGTGGAGGGAGGCAACTGTGTCTACGAAAGACTCATGTAGCCTTGTAGAACCTCCCGTGGATCTCCTTCTCCTTCCATACGGTCTCCCGGTCGAAAAAGCTCTGTATTGCCGGGTCTTGCCATTGCTCGTTAGGTAAGGATAGAGGGCTAAGTCCTTTATCAGAAGAAATACCGTCCCTATAGAATGGATGATCCGCTCTCGTCAGAAAGTAATTACGGAGGCTTGCACACTTCGCGATTATGCATGGTAAGCGAGCATAAAAAGCCGCGCCCACCATGTTTCCGCGACAAATACAGCCTCATTACTGACGATCTCGGAAGATGCATCCTATGGGACGTCATACTAGTGCGGACTATTTCTACTAAAATTAAAATTAATTTCAAATTAGAAATAATGGTGACTACAAGATATAAATGGATATATCTTATTAAAATTAGGATTAGGATGCATTGTTGCCTAGTACAAAGTAATATATGTAAATTAGTCGGTTAGTCTACAGACATTTTTGATTAAAATTTACGTAATTATAATATTTTGTTTTGTAAAAATTGACCATCTCCAAAAATAAATATCAATTTCTTAACCGATAAGCTATATTTTGTTTTATCTAACGTTCATAAAACGTTCAGAACTTTGATTTACCTGAAAAGGTTTTTCATAATATCTTGTTAGGCGATATTGTTCCAAGATGCCTTCTTTGCCTAAAATTCTATTAACTAGCCTGCAAGCATCGTCGACGTCGTTATTTTTTACAAATACTGTGCGAGCTATGAACGAAGGATGCCTGTTTGCAAGAAGTTTAATTGTTAAATGCATTTTTGTTCAAATTCTAATATTTAATTTGCTTTTCTTCATGGATTATTTTATTTGCATATTATGATTCGAGATTTGAGGTTATTTAATTTAATTTTGGAAACTGCTGACATTTATTTGATGTTTGTTAAAAAGCAAAGGGATATATTGCCATTCAGCCTATGTCTGACGTGATTTGTTCACAAAATTCTTGACAACTATTCGGCTTATTTAAAGCTCATGGTGGCTCCACACATGGCTATTTGTATTGCTGTATTTGCCTATTTGGCAAATATAGCCAATAACAAATACGGCTTACCGAACGTCTGTCGGTTTTTCAAAGCACATCAAAGGAGAGAAATAGGCAAACACGCAAATATACTGGCCCACATGGTTGGGCTCACAAGCGCGCGAACTGTCAACCAGTATGGACGGACCTGCTTATAACCTCTTAAAAAGTGATTATTTAGGTACCTACGGAAAATAATTTGGGACAAAGAAACCGTTGTAAGGATTCTAGAACTTTACCAAATGAACCCATGCAGACAATTTGGGTGTACCATGTACCCTACACGATTTAAAAAAAAAGAATGAATCGCTTATGTCTGCCTATCAAGGTTACAAAACCAAAATAAAGAAAAGCGAACGATCCGGATCCGGAGCAGCCAATGTGTATTGTGTACCAAGCAAGTTGGCTTGCATTTGCATTTATGGATAGTTTTTTTTTTAATTCTGTTTATACCTGCAACAGTACTATAAACACTGTGGTAAGTATTTTAAAATAATAAATAAATAGGAAAGTTTACAGATCAATCAGTTTCATGTATTATATAAGTAATTAACAAAGTCGTTTCTGATTACGACTGGACTCATTGAAGATTTTTTAGGAATGTTACCAATACCACGCAGTGCTGGGTTGATAGGAATATCGGCCCTCCATGGACCTGGTATTATTAAGTCGCCTCCATCATACAAGTCGAATGTACCAGGTGGATTATATACAGTTCTATACAGTCTACTTCTTCTCAAAAAATTGTGTAGAACTACACACGCCATGACTACTTGGCTTGCTGATTCTGGTTTAAGTAGCATAGGCGAACGTAGCACTAAATACAGCAGACATAACACCAAATACATTTTCAACGATAACATGGGCTGATGAAAGATTATTGTTGAAAATTCTTACTTTGGTGCCTTCTCGATAATCCCCTGGATATGGTTTCATGATATTGTTATGTAAGGCAAATGCTCTATCACCCAAGAATGTACATATGGTGGGTCAGCATTTCCATTTTGTAGTGGAATTGGTGCTGGCAGTCCCAACATATTATTTTTATTTTATTCCACAGAACAGAGTTTTTCAAAACACCTCCGTCTATTATCCACCTCCTTTGACATCCCACGTCGGCATACATAAGGCAGTAATTACTATCGACCAGGGCTAATAAAACGATGCTAAAAGTTTTTTTGTAGTTGTAACATTCTGAGCCACTGTGAACTGGAGACTGTATGATTACGTGTGTTCAATCTATAGTACCTATGCAGTGCGGGAAACGCTGATGGAAGCCACCTTAATTGTCTAGCCAGTCTTGTTCTACCACTGTAACAAAAATATTAATGTTATTTGTACTTGCAGGATGAAGATCAAATTCCCAGAAGTCAAGAACAGCAGGAATCAAGTTCAACACCTATATTGAATAGAAGAAGACAAAATAATACACTTGAATTAGCGTGTCATGCAGAAGTCGTTCTACAAATGAAATAAACAAATTACTTAGTTCGATTTTTATTCATAGCCAGCATCCACCACCGCCTTGCACTTGGTTGTTTTTTCATCGCTTTGTATTTTTTTTTACGCATAACATATAATAGTAACATGCGTTCAAATAATTTAATCTAGCTGAAAACATGTTTAACTTTTTGGTATTAGCTTCATGTGTACTGTGCGGTTCTATCGCCTATTTGCCCGTACGACGAATATTTTGCCAAATACAGCAAAGATGCAATCACAAATACAAATAGCCATGTGTGGAGCCACCATCATAAGAATTTACGTAGTACATCATTTTTTACGTGGTAGAGCCATGCTGCAGCTATATTAATAGTATCGTTGTAGCACGAATGGGTCAGCTCGACCGGGGAAGGACCACGCTCTCACAGAACACCAGCGTAAAATAGCAGCTTAACGCTGCTGTGTGTCGTATGGTGAGTGTAGAGAACCGGAGACTCTTTTTACTGGAAATGAGGCATTCCATCTTAGTCCTCATGGGTGACAACGCATCTGCATTTTGATTCGCAAACGAGGATATATGTAGATGTCTATGGGCGACAGCAACCACTTACCATCCGGTGGACTGTGTGCTCGTTTGTCACCCTATCTGAGCACCCTATCCTATAAAAAATACCAATATATTCATTCATTTGACAACGTCAAATTTTAAAACAGTGTTGTCATCTATAGCGTAAAATGCACCCCCTAGTTTTTAGGGAAAGAACATTCGTGTTTTAGTGTTTTTTTTTCGTGTTACTTAATAATATGCTTAATTGAAATACAATATGGAATATACCAACTATGATTAGCGATGAAAATGTAAGATTATCGTTCTAGCATACGTCTAAAAAATTACTTTAAATCAATAGCTGTCTAAACATTGGTAATGTTTTTATTTTGTGTAAACATTTATCAATGTTAGAAGGAGATAAAATACGAAACTCGGTGCCTCTCTTTCTAAGAAAAATGAGGAACGGTTACAATGTTCCAAGCGCTCACTCCCTATATTATATTATAACCTCCTTGTTTGTAATGGAGGATAGATGTAGATGTCTATGGACTACAGCGGTCACTTACCATCAGGTGGACTGTGTGCTCGTTTGTAACCTTATCAATATGTGCTCCCCACTGGAGATTGGAATAAATAGAAATTCCAAATATACGATTGTACGTGTGGTAAAACTGTTGCAAAAATAATTATTTTGCAACAGTTTTACCACACGTCACGTCTCGATGTCAATTCACGGTAAATTGCAACCATTTGCTCTCGGTTTGGGAGATATTTATAAGAGATCAAGTGCGGCGTAAGGAATGCCATAGTTATAAACCACACAATCAAATGCATTTCAAAGATCATGGAAGACACAGACAGTGCCATAGTGCTCTTCCCAGGTCTATCAAATATATTACACTAGTTGCAAACCTGCATTCGCCATATATCTTTCGTTTGTTAGGGCAAATTTATTAAAATTTATTTTTATTAAAATGAATATCTGTTATAAAAACATTTCTTTAAATATTTTATAAGGGTCCCACGATGGTCTGGGACTTATAGGGTTCCATTTTATGTAGGACTTGAACAAAAAAGTATGTGCCAACTGTGTTACTTGCCCAGCATGTCTTAAAAGGAAACTAATTAGTGGTTGTGTTCTTTATATAGAATAGGGGTGACAAACGAGCACACATTCTACCTGATAATCCAGTAAGTGGATGCTGTGGTCGGTAGACATCAACTTTTTTGCTTAAGATGCATGGTGAAGTTGGTATTCTGTGAGAGCGTGGTTCTACTTTTTTGCTTAAGATACATGGTGCAGAGTGTTTTCTGTGAGAGCGTGGTCCTACCTCAGTCGAGCCAATCCATTCATGCTTCAGCCATTATACAGCTGCGGCGTAGCTCTACCACGAATAAAATATACGCCATGTGTAGGCGATGGGATAGCTACATACTTAAGGCTTTCAACATGGAAATGGGATGGTAATTTGTAGGATATTACATTTACATTACATTACATTTCGGAAACACGCAACACATTGGGGTTTTTATTTGGGGGTATTATCACTTATAATTAGGTGTATCAATGAACCAAATTGAAAGTTCTCAAAGAAATTCTAAAAAAAAATAATTAAAATCGTTTCACAATTAATGAGATATCGCTTGACTCAATTTCAAAAAACACACACACTCGAAATCAATCAGAACCTCCTCCTTTTTTAAAGTCATTCATTCAGTCAAAACATTTATTAAATTATGTAATAAATTAAAATATACTATGCAAGTGAAGATACATATAACATTACGATTCCGAATGATTACTTTCTCCTTGATTATGAATTACTACTTGATTTTTGTGACACAAAGTTGTCATTGTCATTTAACGTAATAGTTATGAATGCATTACTATTTATAATCGAATAATTTTTTATGGAAAATGGCTAACGACAGTGATATGAGATCACTTCTTACAATTTCCTCCGAACGTAGCACGCAGTCTGCAGTCCGTAAATGGAGGAACGTTCCGCTTCATGAACGATGTTCCATGAATGATATGGTTAAGATCAAGGAAGCTTTTGAGGCGGCCCACGGAAACAAGCTCCTGGCTAATGAGTTCAGAGATCTGTTGAAGATATTACTGAACGTAGAATACGACGATGAAGATTTCAAAATACTTTTTATGAAGGTATTTTGTCCTATTTAGTTTTACTATCATGAAAAATAAGTAATTGATGACCTTGTGAATATTAACTAACGTCGCATGGATATCAAACGCGGATGGCAAGGTACAATAGTGAGATAAAAGCTTTTACAAAAATTTACTTCGCAAATATCCGCGTTATATATATAACGCGGATATTTGCGAAGTAAATTTTTGTAAAAGCTTTTATATAATGGATTTCCGCAAAGTAACGCCTGATTCTATTAATTACAATAGTGAGAAGTTTGGTCTGGCGCAAAAACATAATATTTGTTTCTTATATGGAATAAAGGTGAAGCACACAGTCCACCTGATGGTAAGTGGGTGCTGTGACCGTATCTCACTTCTGAGAGAGCCAAGAAAGGGAAAAGATTTGTCGCTAATATAAAAAACAATTGAAAAATTAAAATTTTGTTCAACCGACTTCAATAAAAATTATTAAGAATAACTTAAAAACTGTTGGTCAGACCTTGACCTTTATATGGGACCATATGAGAAGTACCAGCTTTCAAATAAAAAAAGAATCATCGAAGTCGGTTCACCCAGAAAGAAGTTATGAGGTAACACACAAAAAAGAACATGCAGTCGAATTGAGTACCTCCTCCTTTTTGAAGTGGGTAGAGTTTCAATTCTGCCGACTTCAAAAATTTGCAATTTCAGCCCAGTTGCCTAGAAACACCAACTGCATACATAACTTTGTAATCCCATATAAATATACTAGCTGGCCAGGCAGACGTTGTTCTGCTCTTTTCGACGACCTTTCCTATGAAGAAATCCTTAAATTCGCAATAAGAAAATATTGAAGGTCACTTATCGGGATAAAAAGTATCCTATCTCTCAAGTTGGACCAAACTGCACACAGTGTGCAAAATTTCATTGAAATCAGTTCAATAGCTTAGGAGTTCATCGCGGACAAACAATGTGACACGTAATTTTTATATATAAAGATAGGATTACAAAGTTACATTTGCAGTGAATGAATCAGTAGTGTACCTGTATATGTATAATATAATGAAATAATAAGTGTAGATAGGTACCTAGATATAATTATGTTCAAAGGTTACTTGTAAAATGGTCAACGGAATGAAAAAGCAAGAATGGGACATGTCTTATGAAGTTGTACCAAAATCCCACAAAGTATTAAGTAGACTAAATTGCCCGAAATTGCCATGAAAGAAAGAACACTAGTAAACAATAACCATAACCGCGGCCGGCGGGGGTGGTTTGCCCGCGCCGCGGCTTCCACGCTTCCCGACCGTCACAGAAAGGCGGCCACTTTCTTCCAGGCAACCTTTGGATACGTGGCACTTTCGGGAGTTACAAGTCTGGGCGGGTTATATATAATTAATCTAGACTTTGGAAGTATTAAAGTGCAGCAAACCTCAATTTGTGAATACAATAGACTAAGAAGCATTTACCGTCCAGACTTGTCAAAAATTGTAACATCAAAGCCTCCGAGAAAAACCATGGAGACAGGAAGTGGGCTTTGAGATAAACTGTAGCTGAAGCTCAAGAAGTAGTACCGGAAAAGAAGAAGAAGAAGACTACCTACAAAAATAAGAAAATCTCGTAAAACAGAGAGGGACTTTAAAGAAATCCGTTGTTGGTATTCAAGAAGTAGATGGTGCCGGAAAGGAAAAAAAGTAGGACTATCTACAAAAAGAAATGAGATGCCATCAAAATATAACCTGTAAAAAAAAACAAGTCTCGCAACTCAGTTCTTCTACCGTTAAAAGTTGTGAGATCCATGTAAATACCAAGTCGGTTAATTTATTTAGTCCCTATTTATGGGTCCTTCTGTCTCAAGTTATTACGTACTTAGCTAACCTAACAACATCTTATAGTGACCATATCAATATTAAATATATTTTATGTTTTAAATAAATAGATTGACTTGGCGTAAATATATTAGACTTAATGGAAAACTAAAAATAAGATTAATTTTCTGATTTAAAAAAAGCTAGTAATCGGGGAATAATAAATGTTTTCTTGCTCTCTTGTAATTTAAAAAAAATTGAGGTTCACTTCTTTGCGGCGTTAGCGACGAATTGAGGCGCCAGAATCGAATTTCTGAACGTTATTCGAGTACTATAAAATTTAAAACGAGCGCTTAACCACTGAGTTACTAAGATTTAGTGTCGTCAAATATAATTTTGTCAATATTTTGCAAGATCAACACGAGCCGCGACGGGGAAATCGACTGGGACCAGCTGGTGTCTCACTTGCTCCTAGGCTACTTCGGCAACGACCAAGAGGACCAGCGAGAATTGCTGCAATTGCCAATTATGGGTCTGCCGAAGATCATGCGTTCTCAACATCGCCACCCGATCTCCAGGATCTGCTTCTGTCCTGATGTCGCTAAAGTAAGTCTAGTTTCATAGTATACACTATATAGTTGCTCACTATGTACTTGTAAAATTTAAAATTTTGTACAACCGACTTCAATATAAACTATTAAGAATAACTCAAAAACTATTGGTCAGACCTTAATCAAATTTATATGCGATAATTATATAGGACCAGATGAGAAGCACCAGCTGTCAAATAAAAAAAGATCGCAATCGGTTCATCTAGAAAAATGTTATGAGGTAACACACAATAAAAAACGCAGTTTAATTGAGTAAATCTTTTTGAAGTCGGTAGAAAATAGTAAACGTGTGAGAGCGGATGTTCAACTTGCTCTCTTGCTTGCACAATTAATCATTATCAATAATGAAACCGCGATACATTCGGTATAGAGCAATTACAGTTTGACCATACCGTAATACGTCTCCGCACAGTCACACCAGTGTAACGTGAGGGGCGTATTTACCTATGTTATCATGTATAACACCAAAGTATGCAAACCAACAGCAACACTACATATCTCAGTGTAACACACACACACACACACAGCAGCCTCTCAGCAACATCATCTTCCTTTTCTACACCACAAGAATTACTACAACGGACAGAACCACGATATTATCTCTCCCGCGCACGTCGCCTACAGTGAACTTTATACTGCACCAACAAGTGGGGGTTTCCCGATATACCCTCAATTCCAACTCGTCACTATCGATATGTCGCTCCACTAGAGTGACGCAACCTCTTGCTCACTTTCGATTCAACCGGTACCATCTTATAGACGCGTCGACAAATTTAATAATGGACAACGTTACAAAATATATGATAATCGACATTACAGCACTAATGAATACTTATATTAAGAATCTATATTTTTTTACAAAAAACGCTTGATGTTTAATCGAAATATTATTTAAGTCCGTGAGCGTAAGTGTGATTTCTCTTCAAATTCTCAGGTAGTAATGCAGTAGGGAGTATTTATACGAATGCTAGCTGGCCAGGCAGACATTGTTCTACTTTACCGACGACCCTTTGTCCTTTAGAAAATTAAAATTATGTTACAATTAAACGCGATAAAATCCATAAAATTAGTTTTATTCAATGTGTATTATTCATGATGAAATCATTAAAATCCAATTATAATTAAACTATATTGGCATGGTCCATGTGCAGGATCGTAGCACAGACCCCATGCAAGGCGCTTACATCACGGCGAGCCGCGACGGCATGATCAACTGGTGGTCGCTCGATATGACATTATTAAGGACTGCGTATTCCTCCAGCCGTAAGTACGTTACTAAAAACCGAGGACTGAATTGTTTACCGTGTACGTGTAGTGGCGGTGTAAAAATATCCACTACCCGATATCAAAATAAAGAAATGCGGTTGCTAACCCGCTTATGCAACGAATATGGCAAATATGAGGCAAATTAATGGGGGAGACCTATCATGTTTAACAGTGGTAGAGCCAAGCGGTAGCTTCTGCTGTCGCACGGATGGGCCAGCTCGAACCGGGGTGGTATCACGACCTCACAGAATACCAGCGTGAAGTAGACGTTTACCTATGCGTTGCGCTTGGTGAGTGCAGGTGGCCGGAGGCCCAAATCCCCTCCCCCCCATCAACATGGTAGTGGAATTAAGTAAAAGACTACCCCAGGAGGGTACCAGCACCCCTGGAGAACCCCTCGCTGAGCATCCACGACCAAACTACTTCACTCCTGAGCGTGGTTGCTCAGGCTGCCCCGCGTATTCGGGAGGGGGGGGGGGGAATTCCGCTCGCGACTTAGCTGCTCGGGGCAAGCGGAGCAATACAACCAAGGCGACCCCTGTCACGTTATCCGTGAATTTTTGCAATATCAGGGGACTTCATTCCAACCTTAACGCTGTCCATTACCATCTAGAGACGGCGAAGCCGGCCTTGCTCTTTTTAACCGGGACTCAAGTGTCCTCTCCGGCTGATACTTCATATCTCTCCTACCCGGGGTACAAATTGGAACACTCCTTTGTGCCCCGGGCTGGAGTTTGCGTATACGTCAGAGAGGACATCTGTTTTCGACGCCTCGGCAGTCTTGAGGGTATGGCTGCGCGTAGACAGCGATGACCATCCCCGCGTCTACGGGTGCCTCTATAAGTCCCATAGTGGTAATGCCGACACAGACCGACTCATCGACCACGTCCAAATAGCTGCAGACTCCATGCTACAACAGGTCCCATCCGTAGAGATCGTGATACTCGGTGATTTCAACGCCCACCACGCTGAATGGCTTGGTTCTCGTTTAACCGATCATGCGGGTAGATCTGTCTATGACTTTGCTTTGGCATATGGTCTAACACAACTGGTTACTTCACCTACGCGGATCCCAGATGTGGAACACCATGTACCTTCCCTGTTGGACCTTCTGCTAACCTCTCATCCGGACGGATATCAGGTCTCCGTCGATGCCCCTCTGGGCTCTTCGGACCATTGTCTGATCCGGAGTACGGTGCCACTCACGCTCCAATCGCAGTTGCGATCTGCAGCTTGCCGCCGTGTTTGGCGCTATAGGTCACCTGATTGGGACGGGATGCGGTCTTTTACTGAATCCTACCCTTCGGGGCGGGTTTGCTTTTCGCCGGAAGATCCCAGCGTTGCTGCCGATTCTGTTGCTGATGTGGTACTTCAGGGTATGGAACTTTTTATTCCATCCTCTGCGGTGCCCATCGGAGGCAGATCCCAGCCATGGTTTGGTCGCTCCTGTAAAATAGCATCACGCTATAAGCAGGAGTGTTATTGGGCATGGGCTGACGCATCAACGTCTCGGGATGTAAACATAAGCGCACTTAAAAAGAAGTATAATTCCGCCTCCAGGTCCTTCAAAAGCGTCATCGCCAAAGCAAGGTATGAGCACATCGGCAGAATTGGCGAGAAGCTAGTTCGCCTTCCTTCGGGAACCCGTGCATTCTGGTCTTTCGCCAAGACTGTTCAAGGGAACTTCTGTCAGCCATCTCTTCCATCTCTGCACAGAGAGGACGACTCACTGGCCCATGCCGCAAAGGAGAAAGCCGATCTGTTGAGCTCTCTTTTTGTATCCAACTCGACTCTAGATGACGGGGGGAACACACCGCCGACCATCCCGTGATGTGAGTGCTCCATACCGGATGTGCGATTTGCACAGCGCTCGGTTCGCAAAGCACTCTTCTCCCTGGACGTCAGCAAGTCGAGTGGGCCCGATGGAGTCCCTCCCATTGTGCTGAAGACGTGTGCTCCGGAGTTGACACCGGTTTTAACGCGTCTTTTCCGGTACTCCTACACCCAAGGCGTAGTCCCGAATTCATGGAAGACAGCTTTGGTCCACCCGATCCCTAAAAAAGGCGACCGCTCAGACCCGTCCAACTACAGGCCTATCGCCATCACCTCCATGTTCTCCAAAATAATGGAATCCATTATAAACTGCCAGCTTATGAGGTACCTTGAGGATCACCAGCTGATTAGTGACCGCCAGTACGGTTTTCGTCGGGGTCGATTAGCTGGTGATCTTCTGGTCTACTTAACTCATAGATGGTCGGAGGCAGTAGAGTCCAAGGGGGAGGCATTGGCCGTTAGTTTGGACATAGCGAAGGCGTTCGATCGGGTCTGGCACAAAGCGCTTCTTTCGAAGCTTCCTTCCTATGGGCTTCCCGAGAAATTGTGCAAATGGATCACCAGTTTCCTTGCTAATCGGAGCGAGCATCAAGGTCGTAGTAGACGGTGCATGCTCTGATTTCAAGCCTTTCAACCCTGGTGTACCACAAGGCTGCGTGCTATCACCAACGCTGTTTCTCCTGCATATCAATGATATGTTGCTAACTGGTAGCATTCATAGCTATGCAGACGACAGCACTGATGATGCCTTATATACCGGCCGTGCCAATATTTCTTGGGAAAATGTCAACGAGTACCGGGTGAAACTTGTGTCTGAAGTCGAGTCTTTGCTTAACAAAGTCTCGGATTGGGGCCGACTAAATCTAGTCCAGTTCAATCCCTAGAAGACACAAGTTTGCGCGTTTACCGCTAAAAAGAACCCCTTTGTCGTATCTCCTCAGTTTCAAGGCACTTCCCTTGCTGCCTCAGCCAGTATCGGAATCCTTGGCGTCGACATATCGAATAGTGTGCAGTTTCGTGGTCACTTGGAAGGGAAGGCCAAATTGGCCTCTAAAAAGCTTGGCGTGCTCAGCAGAGTGAGACGGTATTTCACGCCGGCACATCGTTTGCAACTTTACAAAGCGCAAGTTCGGCCCCACATGGAATATTGTTCTCATCTCTGGGCCGGGGCACCCCAGTGCTAGCTCCTTCCACTTGACCACATCCAGCGCAGAACGGTTCGAATCGTCGACGACCGAGTTCTTTCTCATCGGCTCGATACACTGGCACTGCGTAGAGATGTTGCATCCATACCATCTGGATGATTGGCGGTCAACCACTGTGCGATTTAGGAGAAGTTTTCTCCCTCGCACAACTTCCTTGTGGAATCAATTACCACCAGCGAATTTTCCGGGCCGATACGACTTAGGAACCTTCAAGAAAAGAGCTTACACCTTTCTAAAAGGCCGGCAATGCATCTGCAATTCCCCTGGTGTTGCGGTTGTTCATGGGCGGTGGTAGTCACTTACCATCAGGTAAGCCGCATGCTCGTTTGCCCCCTATTCTAGAAAAAAAAAATAAACTTGGTAAACAGTAAATTGTTTTCTGGACCTATAATACTCGTAGTTGTTTCTAATTTTGTATCATTAGCGATTTGAAGAAAACGTTAATGTAAGATTATAATTTCTTTATCATTTTTTTACCTTTATTTTTGAGGAAAGATTACAGTTATTTACAATGAATTGTTTTTTTATATTTCTACAAATTAACCATTACAAAGTTTTCACATTATATAGAATTGAAGTGTCGGTCTGTAATATTGAAATGATTGGCTTTTAAAGCTCCGGGGGTTACTTGCATGCTATTTAGACATAAACAATGCTTTTTAAAAGCTTTGTCTGTCTGTCTGTCCGAACCAATCTTCGGAATGGCTGAATCGATTGTGGTGAAACTTTATAAGCAGATAGTGGAGCATTGTCTGGTGAAATCTAGGCTTCATAATACCATCCTCACCATCTGGATACTTGGCGGTCCACAACTGTGCGTTTTACTAGGAATTTTCTTCCACGTACAACTTCTCTGTGAATTGTTTACCACCGGCGATTTTTCCACACCGATACGACTTAGGAACCTTCAAGAATAGAGCTTACTTCTTTCTAAAAGGCCGGCAACGCATCTGCAATTCCCCTGGTGTTTGCGGTTATACATGGGCGGCGGTAGTCACTTACCATCAGGTGAATTATTGGATCGTCTGACCGATTTGCACACATCGAACGCGAGATGTAGTGCTCTATTTTATTCTATTTTAAAACTAACTCGTCAAGAATTCACCAGCTCAGCTGAAAGTGCGCACCACTTGGGTAACGGATATGGTGTGCATGCCGGACGTGAACATCGTCGTGACCAGCTCAACCGAGCGTGAACTTCGCTTCTACGACTGCATTGCCGGCACCTTCACACTGAAGATCGTCATCTCAAGCTGGGAGTACATGGTACTGAGTTTGATGTTCAGATAACTTAGGTGATGCTATGAATGGTGTAGGGCTAAGGTGGAAGCCTCTAGCCCGGAGACGATAGGAAATGTTATTGTTACGGCCTACGGCTGCTCCCACAAAGGTTCAATCACCCGGGGCCCATCAGCGGAGTTTCAACGAACAGACGTAGGTCGGGCTTCATATGGCCGCGTGGAATTTCCTATCACAATAAACTATATGGGAGAAAGCTAGAAACACATAGTACTTACCGTTATCTGAAGCTAACTTCGCACCAAGGCTTGAGCAGGCCGTGAGTGTGTGTAATAGTGGATGGTGAGTAGTGTACAGTGAGGTGTAAATGTCTGCGACCTGAGCAAGCTTAGGCGACCAGCAGCGGCCGAGTTCCAGGCTGCCCCAAAATGCTGCATCGCTCCAGCAGGCTTCAGCGCCGGACCACTTCTTTCTTCACTGTCACTACTCAGTCTCTCAGCTTCATCGTACATTTAACTAACTTCAATTCGCCCAATTCTACACTCATCACAGAATCGAACACGTGATATCCAACACGGCAAGGACAGTAGCACAAAAATCGACATTTAATGTCCCGGATTCCCTATCACAAATTATAAAGTTGGCACCAGAATAACACGTCGCACCAGAGTTAAAATACGCCTTGTTGACACGCAAATTAATCTAACTAGGCAACCCAAACACAAAAGCCACTAACGCGACGATTCAATTATAACGATATCTTCATCTAACTATCTAGATCCACGACGGGCCGCGTGAATTTCGCTAAGAGAGCCGCACGGGCTCCCTGCATCGTATCTGGCGGGGCACTAAACTTTGCCCACGAGCATCACACGCTGGGAAACTGCCTACCGTTCCCCCTCCTTTCGATGCGCGTGACACCTGGGGCCATCGTGCGACTCACGAAGTCGAACGTGATTGGATGACGTTCAACATGACCAAATTTGGCCTAAACAGTTATAATTCCCTTACCTTTGGGTAAATGCTTGACATGAATAAATCTTTTGAGCACTTCTTTCAATACACAACCTGCCCTTTTATAAGCAATACGCAAAATCACCATTTTTATTCAGACTGCGAAATACTGAAACGACTTATTTTATTTATTTTATTTTGTAGAATACGGGCGACAAAAAAGTACACAGTCAACCTGATGATGCGTGTATGCTGTGACCTATAGACATCTATACCTATCTTCGATTAAGAATCAAAACGCAAACGTGTTGCCATACCTGAGAACTAAGATGGAACGTTACATTTAACATTACATGTCATCTAAGACTTTTATGTATACTACCAGACTATTATTCAGAACAAAAATTGGCACCGGCGCGTGCGTGGGCGTTTAGGGAGATGGATAAATTAAGATGGCAGTTGTATTTTCATTTACGACAGTTACTGTTTAAGGCAAATACGAAAAAAGTTGATAAGTTACATTGTTATCTGAAATAAAATTAAAATTACGTTGACAAAGTGCGTACATAAATAATGACAGTGTTTTGTTAGTTACATAAAATAATGCTATATCTAAATTGGTAAATTGGTTCAGTGTTAATAATTTGCATTTAAATGGCACTAAAACGAAATGTATGAAATTCATGACTCCAAATGTCTAACAATTAAATACTAATGTAATTTTAAAAGGGGAGAAACTGAGTCTTGTAGATACCACCATTTTTCTTGGAATCACACTAGACGCGAAGCTTCAATGGAGCCCCCATATATCAAAACTAGCAAGCAGACTTAACTCTGCAGCATATGCCGTAAAAAAGATTAGAATTCTAACTAGTGTAATCTAGACTAGTTTACTTTAGCTATTTCCATAGTGTATTGTCGTATGGTATTTTGCTATGGGGACACGCAGCTGACACTGAAATTATATTTGTTTTACAGAAGAGGGCCATAAGAGCAATTTATGATTTAAAGCCTAAAGAGTCGCTGCGACAAAAATTTAAGGAAATTAATATATTAACTTTGGCCTCTCAATACATTTATGGAAATGTAATGTACGTACACAAAAATAAAAGTAGTTTTACAAAAATAAGTGATATTCATTCTGTAAATACTAGGAACAGACACCAGCTAGTAGTACCAGTTACTCGACTCCATCGAGTCAGTAATTCATTCTTGGAGTGATGTATACGTTTTTACAACAAAATTCCAGAAAATATACAAAATTTGACCTGCTCAAAGTTCAAAAACTTTATTAAACTAAGTTTGTATAAAAAGGGTTATTATAATATTAAAGAATTTATAGATGATAATAAACCCTGGAAATGAGGTGATCGCTACCAAGCTATTTCTAATTTGTTGTGTTGTTAATTTATGTAACATACATGATTGTAAGCTGTTATTTAAAAAAAAAAGTCCCGCTGGTTTTATTGCTGGTTCTTCCCAGGACAGAGGTTTTTTTTCGAACTAGTGGTAATTATACAAAAGAGTGACTTTCAATAAGTATTTTTATAATCTATATTGAATAAAAAAGTTTCTGTATCTGTTTCTGTTTCAGTATCAGTGTTATGTTGTCGAAAACAACGTTCACGGTTTACAAAATAAAGAACTAGTCTTCTCGCCCGCTCGCAGTCGACTAAAGCTGTTGCGGAGAATTGACATTAACTTGTGCGCAATAAATATGTACATACTTAGAATAGGTGTTTGCTCAGAATGCGAGTTTTTTTAACAACGCTTAGGCTTTAGGTAAACTGGTAATGAAAACAACATTTTCTGCACTAGATATGCACAATGTACTACCACTTTCACAAAGAGCTGACGGAAAACTGCCTCCTGATCTGTGGGGATGTAGGTGGCTTCGTGCGCGTGCTGCAGTTTTCTCCAGTACTGCGTGGGCCCTTCCGCAACCAGCCTGAAAAGGCGCTACAGCTACTGCGGCACGTCGATCTCCAGAAGCGGGTTAGAATTGATAGAATTTTTTTATTTTTATGCCTTCTAATAGCTGGCGAGACAGCGTGATAAATCATCACATAGATGAGCGGCAGCATCTTCCTAATAACGTATCAAAATAAAAAATAAACTTTTTAATGGTTGTTTTTAAATGAAACTAATTTTTACGGATTATATCGCGTTTAATTTAACTTTTTGATTCCCGACGCTTCGGTTGCTTTACAGCACCCATTGTCACGGGGAGAGTCCCCCCTTTGTATAATTCGTAAAAATTAGTTGTTTAATTTGTTTAGTAAAAATTCGAATAAGGTACGTGATAATGTAATATAGTCACCTTAAGCTTTGCCGCCTTATAAAACCAAAACTAGGAGGAGGACAGAGACAAATACATAATGTCGTATACTATAACTAATATAGAAAAAAATAACAAACACGCCTTGGCAATAATTAGCAACACTTCGAAAAATCACCTTAAAAAAAACTAACTATAGTACGTGAGGGTAATATGGTCATCCGGTTAATATGGTCACTTTTTTATAACTCAAAAACTACTGCGTCGTTTGCATAGAACGCTCTGTGATATGATAGCTCTTGATCGGTCTATCAAATAATAAAGGGTCAAAAAGACGCTCCTTTATCGACGCTATTTTGACAGTTGATATTATTGTAAATATTTGAGTCGATTTTTGTATTGTGTAGTGTAGTTAGTTTTTTTTTAAGTAGATTTTTCGAAGTGCTCCTAATTATTTCCAAAGCTTGTTTGCAATTTTTTTCTTAATATATTAGTTTCAGTATACTACTTTGTGTTTTTGTCTCTGTTCTCCTCCTAATTTTGGTTTTATAGGAAGATAAAGTTTAAGGTGACTATATTACCCTCACGTACTTACTATAATATCAACTGTCAAAATGGCGTCGATAAAGCGGCGGCCCTTTGACCCTTTATTATTTGAATGGCCGATGAAGAGCTATCGTATCGCAAAGCCATCTATGCAAATAGGCTGTAGTTTATTGAGTTATAAGAAAGTGACCATATTAACCGGATGACCATATTACCCTTACATACTCTATTTTATCTCACGTCTGTGTTTGGGTAATACCACTTTTTATATACTATAATTTCAATATTTAATTGGAATACACAGAGAAAAAAGTCTGTGACAAACAGACGCTGAAATTACATAAGTTTTTTATTTTGTTGTATTTAATGCGGAACATTAAAAATATTATGGTAAGTCCAATGTCCAGCTGGTGGTGATTCTTACAAAGGTTTTCTTCCGCCAGAGGAATTAAAAATAGAATGAAGATATAGAACGCAAATATTATTACCTACTAAGAACTAAGTAATATTTGCCTTCGCTTCGTTCTTTGCTCCATCCAGAGAAACGATAGGGATAGGCACTAAATGAAAAAAAAAAACTTATCTGCAATATGCTAAAGTGTCGGACGAGATATTTTTAACCGACTTCAAAAAGGAGGAGGTTCTCATTTAGAGTGTCTGTTCTTTTTATTGTATGTATATATTTCGTACGCCGTATCTTCACAGATTGTTATCTGATTTTAATGATTCTTTTTTTATTAAATATGCTTTCCTCAAGGGTGGTCCTGTTAAATTTTGAAGATAACTTCCACCCTCAAAAGTGGAAAATAGGAGAAAATTTTTCACAGTTAAGTTTTAAGGGTGGAAGTTACCCTCAAAAGTGGAAAATAGGAGAAAATTTTCATATTGGACTATTGTTTAAGATATTTCATATGATATCTTCGGAGATTGAGAACCGTTTGTGATGATTCTTTTTTTATTAAATAGGTTATACTTCAAGGGTGGTCCCATATGCATTTGGAGAAAAAATTACACTCCTAAGGGTAACAAATAAATAAATTCTTTTTTAGCAATTTGAAGTCGGTTTTTACTTTTTGTTAAAAATTATAATTATTTTCTGTTCACTTCAAAATTATATTTATTTCACGTGGTAGAGACATGCTGCAGCTATATTATTGGTATAGTCGTAAAACGAATGGGTCGGCTCGACCGAAGAAGGACCACGCTCTCACAGAATACCAGCTTAAAATAGCGGCTTAATGCTGCTGTGTTTCGTATGGTGAGTGTAGAGAACCGGAAACCCTTTTTACTGGAAAATAGGCATTCCATCTTAGTGTGAGGAGGCTAACAATGCATCTGCATTTTGATTCGCATACGAGGATAGATATAGATGTCTATGGGCCACAGCAACCACTTACCATGAGGTGGACTGTGTGCTCGCTTGTCACCCTTATGCTATAAAAAAAACTTCACTATTTTAACTTTTTGCGTTACAGATAAATTGACAGGTACTGTAGGATTGTGAGATATCAGGGATATTTTATTGATAATGATGATGAATAGCGGTCAAACGAACACATTGTCCACCCGATGGTAAGTGAAGACTATGGCACATAAACACCTACCTATTTGTATGTGAGAGATTAAGAATCAAGTAAAATGGAATGACTCGTTACAAATCAAATTACAGATGCGTTGTCACTCCTGAGGAGTAGAAGAAAATGCCCCGTTAACTATGAAAAGGATTTTCGGTTCTCGTCACTATAGAATATATTACTCGTCACTTATCGTTCGAAACACAGCAGTAAACAAAAAGGTACTATTTCGAGCGTGGTCCATCCCTGTCGAGTCGACCCACTCGTGACTCCACTACGTATAATTTTAATTGGTGTTTGACGGTTCCGTGGCACAGTGACTTAGCATTGAGTTGACGCGCTATGGGCCTTGGGTTCGAATCCCGCAAGCAACAGGTATTTGTGTGGCCTACAAATAATCGTTCCGTATCTGGGAGCCTTGTGCAATTTATGTTTGTGAACTGCCCCCACAATAACAGAGAAAATCCTAGTATGGAGGTGACGTTTAAAAAAAAAAGAGAAAAAATATGGAAAAAAAGTGCACGCCTCACACGATTATTATGTTAAAAATTTAAATTAAAAAACCAATAATCTGACCGACTTTCATTAATAACTTTAAAACGGTGTTTAAATTCAATTACAAAAGTTATAAGATTAGTTATCTTATAATTCAATGTCTTCAGTTATTGTACCGTTAATAATAAGACGGATTTGATGTCTAGCTAGGATTAGATGTATAAGAACGATTTTATATAGCGAAATTGAGGTATGGCCACATATCGAGAGTAGAGCACTCCCTCACGTTGTGAGGCGCGAAATACTAGGCGCCCGTGTTCACTAATTTTGTGTGCTAAAGTGTCGGAAGAGAGAGAAAAGAGATTTTTTACGGTTCTCTTCACTATTCTAACTTTTTGCGTTGCTGATAGATGCATACTGTGTGTGAGATTGTGGGATATCTCGTTTAATTTTATACAAGTAATAAACAAACGAACGCACAGTCTACCAGATGGTAAGTGAATGACGTCACAGCATTCACTTGGACATGGACACTTACATCTATCTTCGATTAAGAATCAAAATACAGTTGTGATGTCACTCCTGAGGAGTAAAATGAAATGCCCCGTTACTGAAAATACAATATCCGTTCTCATGTCCATCACTAGCAGCACGGCAGCACTTAGCTGCTATTTCTTGCTAGCGTGGTCCTTCCCCGATCGAGCTGACCGAGCCGTGCTGCAGCGTGGCTCTACCACGTACAGCTTAGAAAGGTGTTCTATTTCAGCCCCAGCTGCTGCCAGAGTTGCAGCTGGTGGAGTTCCCGCGCGCGCACAGTGAGTGGGTGCGCCAGGTGTCGTACTACGCGTCGCTGCACTGCGTCGTGTCTTGCGCCACCTGCCCCGAAGCACTGCTCATGTGCGACCTCGCAGCCTCCCGGACACACACCACCTTCCACGTGGACAAGGTCGACGTCATTCTGTTAATATCTGTGTAATATTACGCTGGATTATACAGAAACTATACACAAACAGAAACTTTCTTATTCAATATAGATTATAAATAATACTTATTGAAATTCATCCTTATGTTTAATTTACCACTGGTTTGGAAAAAACTTCTGTCCTGATAAGAACCAGCAAAAAGCCCACTGTGACTTGTTGACTTGACCTGTGAAAAAACACATTAACACACAAAACAAATTAGAAATAGCTTGGTGGCAATCACCTCATTCCTAGGGATTATTATCATCCGTAAATTCCTTAATATTATTAATAACACTTTTAATATAATCTATGTTTAATAATGTTTTCAAACTTGACGGAAGTCAGATTTTGTATATTTTCTGGGATTTTGTTGTACAAGCGTGTAACATACATCGCCCCACATGCGTTTATTCACCAACTAACACAGTTGTAATACAGAACATAAACTGGTACATTAAAACACCGAAGATAAAATTCATTAAGAGAACACAGACATAAAATAATCTCATTGCCATGAGTGACGTGATGCTCAAGGAAAAAGATTAAAGTGGGGTAAAAAGAATAATGGACTGAAGGAATAGAGTTAGGAAAAATCTTGAGTTAGCCATGGTTCTAAAGTCAAGCTGTGGAATTTTTAGTGTAAGAGGGTTCATCGCCTCATAGCGCCCGATTGTTGTGAGTGGTCTTTTTTTTTTCGTAAGCCCGTAAAAAGTCCACTGCTGAACTGGGGCCTTTGTAGTCAGGATTTATCTTAATGGTAACGCTTGGAAAAGAGTTTTACTATCGCAATACCAGGTGTCTCGGACATTTGCTACTACCCGTCGCCAGTCTACCAGATTTTACGACTGGCGTCAACGATTCAACTACTCTATTAGCGGTCAACTAACACAGAGTCTATTTCAACTGTGGATGTCTCGTTTGGAGGCGAAACACGTGTCGTATTTTTTTTTATAGGATAAGGGTGACAAACGAGCACACAGTCCACCTGATGGTAAGTGGTTGCTGCGGCCCATTGACATCTATATCTATCCTCGTTTGCGAATCAAAATGCGTTGTCACCCGTGAGGACTAAGATGGAATGCCTCATTTCGAAAAGGGCCTCCGGCCACCTGCACTCACCAAGCGAAACGCAGAGGTAAACCTCTACTTCACGCTGGTTTTCTGTGAGGTTGTGGTACCACCCCGGTTCGAGCCGGCCCATCCGTGCGACAGCAAAAACTGCCGCGTGGCTCTAACACTAGAAAAATTATTGTTGACGGTGGTGTGTATTTTCTAGTGTAGTAGTGTTGAGATTAATGATGATGGGGATATTGCACGCAATCTCAAGAGGGTAGGAAGTGCTCTTCAAACTAGATAAGGCGCTACCTTGCAAGGGTGCGGCAGTATTTCACACCGGAGAGCTTCTTACCTTATATAAAGTGCAAGTCCGGACGTGCATGGAGTAATGTTGTCATATATGGGCTGGTGCTAAAACATGGCACCTAGCAGCATCGAACTCCGTGAAGCGACGTGCTAAGAGGCTCATTGGTGACCTTTTTTTTATATAGAATTAGAGTGACAAACGAGCACACAGTCCACCTGATGGTAAGCGGTTGCTGTGGCCTATAGACATCTACATCTATCTTCGTTTGCGAATTAAAATGCAGATGCGTTGTCAGCCTTGAAGACCAAGATGGAATGCCTCTTTTCCAGTAAAATATGTCTCCGGTTCTCTACACTCACCCTATGAAACACAGCAGCATAAAGCTGCTATTTTACACTGGTATTCTATAAGAACGTGGTTATTCCCCGGTCGAGCCGACCCATTCGTGCTACAACTATACTATTATTAATGTAACTGCAGCATGGCTCTACCACGTTGAAAAACCTTGATTTGGTTAAAACCAATCTTGTCAACTTTGAGCACAGGCGCAGGTAGCCAGCTTCCTGGTATTCTATAGGATGCACTTCGGTGAGTTTGCGCAAGAATTACAAGCTTTAATTCCTTCCTCTCCTTTCCACGTCAGTCAGCGAGTCTTCACCCTTTATTGTCAATATTCTACGCATTAGAACCAAACGGTTTTGCTTCGTCTTTTGTAATGCGTACATCAAAGAGGTAGAGTAATTTGCCGGCGTCTATCTTTCCGTCCGAATACAATCTGGACGCCTTCAAGGCAAGAGTGAGTAGGCTTTTGTTACGATAAGATAGTGCGATTTACCATCTAAGGCTGCATCACTACTTAACACCAGGTGGGATTGTGGTCAAGCACTGGCTTATAACAAGTAAAAAAAAAGGAAGAAAAAAGACACATTATTTTATTACGCGGATCTAAGTTGATTTATTTTTACTTCTATAACATTGCTTTAATCTACATAATTAACTTCGTTCTCGCGACAGTTGAAAAGATGTTGAAATTCAAAGCAGGGCGTCCAGTGCTTCGCTTTTGACGAGGAGGCGCACGTGGTGGTGACGGGTGGTCCGGACTGCACGGTGCGAGTATGGAACTCGTTCGTGGCTAGCTCGGCCAGTGCAGTGCTGCAGGGCCACCGCGCAGGTGTGGTGGCGCTGGTACTGCAGGACAACGCCCGCTTCGCCTACTCTTTGGCGAGGGACCGTATTATCAAGGTCTGGGATCTGCAGTCGCAAACCTGTTTACAGGTAGGATGCAAAGTGTATTTAAATAGTTTGAGAAGTGCAAAATGACGGTTTATTTACGTGGTAGAGCCACGTTGCAGGTATATTATGTTTGGAGCATATAATAGGTCGGCTCCTCCGGGGCCACAGAATACCAACGTGAAATAGCGGCTTAATGCTGCTGTGTTTCTTATGGTGAATATAGAGAACCGGAGACTCTTTTAACTGGAAACGGCAGGAAAGGCATTCTTTTTTAGTCTTTAAGGGTAACAACGTACAGAGGCGGATTAAATGTAGACAGCGCTCTAGGCTAGCGCCATATCGGCATATTTCGCAAATAAACTATGTTATAATTTATAATATAAGTTAGTATATACCCCCCCCCCCCCCCCATACATGAAAGCGATGTTAAATAAAAATCTATCCCAAGAGGTCATCCACGCCCAAACTATCTTCCTTCTGGGTGTGGATACTCAGGCTGCTCAGGCAAACGGAGCAAAATCACTACGGCACCCCATACCACGCTCGCTGTGGATCTGCAATATAAGGGGACTTAATTCAAAGCTAAACGCCGTTCACCACCATCTCGAGACAGCTAAGCCGGCCTTGCTCTTTCTCATAGAGTAATAGTTCTCTCTGACTGATACATCTTATCTGGGGCACGGCAGTGCCCCCGCCAAGTCTAGCAAAAAGCGGCACGGCTGTACCATCCTTTTCTCGAAGCAGTTCAGGCCATTTTCGACCTCCTATAACTTTGTTGTGGATAAAACTATAAGCCTGAATTGGCTGAACCTAAGCATGCATTGTATAAACACGGTATATTTGAAATTTCATTCAATTTGAACCAGTAGTTTAAGAATTATAACTAGTCTAAGTTACTGAATTTTGTCATTCACTGACTGACGGATCATCAAATCTCTAAGGCACTTCTAGCAGACGTAGAAGCTTCAAATTTAGAATACAATTAGTGCTTAGTGTATATATCCAGGAAAAACTAAAATATTTTCTAATTTTGGTTCAGTTTTCTAGATAAATAACTTTATAATCTTATTGTACACGCCCCTAGCTGCCCCAACCAAGGATGACGGGATTAGGGCCCATGAGTAATCCCATTGACGAGCAGCAGAGGGACGGGGCCAGAATATGGCCACGTGGAATTTCCTAATTACACTAAACTATATGGGGGAGCGTTCTATACTACGGCAATTCGACCGGGAGAATATTAGACGGAGCTTACTTACCTATATCCAAGGCGACTGGTCCCTCCGGAGTCGGCCAGGTCGCATGTGGTTGTGTAGTGCAAGGGAAATAAGGTGATGTGATGTGTATCTGGGTGTGACTGATGGTGATTGACCCGAGTAGACCTTGGCCGTCGGCAGCAGCCCGGGCGTCGACACCGCTCCAAATTGAGGGAACCTTCCGCGGCGTTGTCCACAATCACTTTCCTCGTTCGTCACGATGACAGTCCATTAACTCTATCGTACGATTAACTAACTTACAGAAGCCACTAACTCTCGTTTGTTATAAGGTTAACGCACAAAACGAACACGGAGTGTCCGGATCAAAGGTCACTACCGTTTCGCGTAGCGACAGTCATTTCTAGAATATCAAAGGCCGCACTAGACACCGAGCCAAGCGCCCTCTGACGTCGATTCCGACAACAGCGTTTGGCGCGAACACTTATATAAATACATAGGATTACAAAGTTACATTTGCAGTGAATGAATCAGTGTACCTGTATATGTATAATATAATGGAATAATATATGTACATAAGATAGGTACCTAGATATAATTATGTTCAAAGGTTACTTGTAAAATGGTCAACGGAATGAAAAAGTAAGAATGGGACATGTCTTATGAAGTTCTACCAAAATCCCGCATATTATTAAGTAGACTAAATTGCCCGAAAATCTGTAGTTGGTATTCACGAAACTAGATGGTAACGGAAAGTAAAAAAAGTAGGTCTATCTACAAAAAGAAATGAGATGCCATCAAAAACATAACTTGTAAAAAATACTACGTACTTAAGAGTCCTTCTGTCTCAAGTTATTACGTAATTAGCTAACCTAACAACATCTTATAGTGACCATATCAATATTAAAAATCTTTTATGTTTTAAATACATAGATTGACTTGGCAATCGCACTAAACAGTTGAATTTAATATAATAGGTATTTCTTGTGAGATACGTTGTGTTTTCATGCGATGGCCAAGTCAAATTTTAATATTGATATGGTCACTATAATATGTTGTTAGGTTAGCTAGTAGTGACTGAATAAATTAACCGACATGGTATTACATGGATCTCAGAACTTTTTACGGTAGAAGAACTGAGTTGCGAGACTTGGTTTTTTTACAAGTTATGTTTTTGATGGCATTTATCTTACTTATCAGAGTTTGTGTGTACAATAGAGAGGGTATCTGTTCGCATCGGTAGTCTTGAAGGCAGTTATCTGTCCATGTTATGGCTACGCATAGACAGACAACCAGCTCCGCGTCTATGGGTGCCTTTATAGGTGCTATCAGCTCATTGGTAACTGTCAATACGGTTTCCGTAGAGGTCGCTCAGCTGGTGATGTTCTTGTCTACCTGACTCACCGACAGGCGAAGGCAATCGAGACCAAGTGGAAGGCCCTGGCGGTTAATTTAGACATAGCGAAGGCCTTCGTAACAAAGCACTTCTTTCGAAGATTCCCTCTTATGGGCTTTTCGAGAAATTATGCAGTTGGGTGGCCAGTTTTTAACAGATTGGAGTATTAAGGCATACACAGGCTTCGACTCTGAGCCTGTGTATGCTGGTGGTGGTTCCTCAAGGCTGCGTGCTATCGCCTACCATTTTTCTGTGCATATCAATGATACATTCTAGTAACATTCATTGTTATGCAGATACTAGCACTGACGATGCCTTATACACCGGCCTTGCTAATATTTCTCGGGAACACGTCGTGGAGTGCCGGAAAAACTTGTGTCTGAAGTCAAGTCTTTCTAAATCTAGTTAAGTTTAACCCCAAAAGACACAGGTTTGCGCATTTACCGCAAAAAATAACCCTTTGTCGTACATATCCTTACTTATCCTTAACTTCAGGGCAATTCCACTTGACCGTATTCAACGGAGTCTGAATCGTCGACGACCAAGTTCTTTCCGATCGGCTTAATCCACTAGCCTTATGAAGAGACGTAGCATCCCTTTGCATTTTGAAGCGCATCTACCACGGGGAGTGCTCTGAGGAATTGTTTGGATTAATTCCAGCCGCCAAATTTCACAAACGCACATTGCGACAAAACTTACGATACCATCCACACCATCTGGATGCTTGGCGGTCCACCACTGTGCGTTTTATTAGGAGTTTTATTCCTAGCACAACCTCTTTCTGGAATCGTTTACCACCGGCGATTTTTCCAGACCGATACGACTTAGGGATCTTCAAGAAAAGAGTTTACTTCCTTTTCCTGGAGTTTCAGTTGTTCTCTTCTCTAAAAAAAATTGAGTATAGATATAGATGTCTAGGGGCCACAGCACCTACTTACCACCAGGTAGACTGTGTGTTCGTTTGTCACCTTTATTCTATAAAAAAACAGTTTCGTGGCGCAGTAGATTAGCAATGAATTACGGCGCTGAAGACCGCGGGTTCATTTCCGCACGGAACAAGTATTTGTATGGCCTACAAGTAATTGTCCCGGGTCTGGATGTTTGCCCCTTGCGCAATTTATGTATGTAAACTAGACGATATAGGAGAAAATTTTAGTGTGGGAATAACGTTTTTTTAAAATAAAAAAGGTTGCGAACTAATCATTCCAAATAAAAATTAGGCCGGCGGATTGTTGACCTCTGTGTGTCTGTGTTTGATATATTTCCTTAAATACTTTATTTTACTAAAGCGTCATTAGTTAGTCAACAGGGTGCACTGTGAGCTACAGTGTCTCAAGTGATGAGTGACCGCCACAATATTAAGTGCTGATTTACTGCCTATGTGCTCTTCTCGGTGGTGAAATAACTATCTTGAGGAAACCTGCATGTCTGAGAAATAAAATATTTCAATGTGTGAAGTCCGTCAACATGAGGAGCATGTCGTCTTTCGTAATGCGTACGGCAAGTCTATCTTTCTGTCCGAATACAATCTGGGCGTCTTCAAGGCAAGAGTGAATAGGCATTTGTTACGATAAGACAGTGCGATTTACCATTTAGGGGTTTAACACCACTTACTACCAGGTGAGATTATGGCCAAGCAATAGCTTATAATAAGTTAAAAAAAAACATTGCGTCTGACTTTAACTCTCTAGAAATGAGAGGAGACATGTGCTGTGACTTTACTTTTTTACATAGACCCAGTTTTAGATCTAGTTTATGCTATTTCCAAGTAGCAAAGTGTGGGGGAGACATACAGTGGACTGCTTGCTTCCGTGGTCGCGTTCCATACGAATGTCCTGCGACTCTCGTCATCTCCTCAACTAACGACGGTCACTATGGGGTTTTAGTCGGTAGCAGTCCGACATGTCTTCTCTTCCAGAACAGCTGGAAATCCGAGAGATATTCATCACGTTAAAAACGTCTCAGACGGGATGGAGCCACGCTGCAACTATATTATCTACACATGGATCGGTTCGTCAGGGGTAAAGGTCCTCGATTGTGTTCACCATGAAACATTAATCAGGAAACTTCAACACTACGGTGTAAGAAGTGATGCTCTTAAATTAATTATTTCATATTTAAGTAAGATAACGCAAAAAGTTGTCATTAACAATATGAGCTCTTCCGGATCGATGGTACAAATGGGCGTGCCTCAAGGCTCAATTCTCGGCCCCTTTCTGTTTCTTGTATACATTAATGACTTACCTTACATAGTAGGGGATAACCATGATATAGTATTATTTGCAGATGACACTTCTTTAATTTTCAAATTAAATCGACAATTACTAAAATATGACGAAGTAAATAATGCTATATCTAAATTAGTAAATTGGTTTAATGTTAATAATTTGCATTTAAATGGCACTAAAACGAAATGTATGAAATTCATGACACCAAATGTCAAACAATTATTTACTAAGTAATTTAAAATGGGGAAAAACTGAGTCTTGTAGATACCACCATTTTTCTTGGAATCACACTAGACGCGTAGCTTCAATGGAGCCCCCATATATCAAAACTAGCAAGCAGACTTAGTTCTGCAGCATATGCTGTAAAAAAGATTAGAAGTCTAACCAGTGTTGAAACAGCTAGACTAGTTTACTTTAGCTATTTCCATAGCATAATGTCGTATGGTATTTTGCTATGGGGACACGCAGCTGACACTGAAATTATATTTGTTTTACAGAAGAGGGCCATAAGAGCAATTTATGATTTAAAGCCTAAGGAGTCGCTGCGACAAAAATTTAAGGAAATTAATATATTAACTTTGGCCTCTCAATACATTTATGAAAATGTAATGTACGTACACAAAAATAAAAGTAGTTTTACAAAAATAAGTGATATTCATTCTGTAAATACTAGGAACAGACACAAGCTAGTAGTACCAGTTACTCAACTCCATCGAGTCAGTAATTCATTCTTGGGGTGATGTATACGCTTTTACAACAAAATTCCAGAAAATATTTTATTAAACTAAGTTTGTATAAAAAGGGTTATTATAATATTAAGGAATTTATGGATGATAATAACCCCTGGAAATGAGGTGATCGCTACCAAGCTATTTCTAATTTGTTGTGTTGTTAATTTGTGTAACATCATGATTGTAAGCTGTTATTTAAAAAAAAAAGTCCCGTTGGGTTTCTTGCTGGTTCTTCCCAGGACAGAGGTTTTTTCCGAACCAGTGGTAATCAAACAAAAGAGTGCTTTCAATAAGTATTATTTATAATCTATATTGAATAAAAAAGTTTCTGTTTCTGTTTCTGTTTCAAAGATATTGACAAAAACATCTGTTCCCGATGATTGTAATTTTTTCCTCCAGACATATATAGACATCCCGTCACTAATTGGCGAGCGGACCCCCATCTCTGCCGTGTACAACCCAGCCACGCGCGAGTTCATCCTGGCTGCCATCAAGATAGCCGTGCTGATTCTCGATGAGCAGCTCAACCCCCAGCACACTGATGGGTTCACGCACTCGCGCGCCGTCGCTAAAGTCCTGTACAACCCACTGTTCAAAGTAGTCATCACTTGCGGCATGGACAGCATTATTATCAATTGGGATCCACTGACAGGTGAGCATACAAATAAATGAATTTGGTAGATTGATATTTGAGAGGTTTTATCATAACTAGCAATCTGCCCCGGTTTCACATGGGTGATTGCTGGATCTCCATAACAGCGCTACCTAACGGGTGCAAAATTGTAATTCTAAGCCATCCAGGGACCCAATCAAGCACATATCCTATTTCATCAAAATCGGTCCAGCCGTTTAGGAGGAGTTCTGTGACAAACACACTTTTTCACGTGGTAGAGCCACGCTGCAGCTTTTTTATGGTTGTAGCACGTATGGGTCGGCTCGACCGGGGTGGGATCACGCTCTCACAGAATACCAGCGTAAAATAGCAGCTTAACACTGCTGTGTTTTGTATGGTAAGTGTAGAGAACCGGAGATTCTTTTTACTGGAAACGAGGAATTCTAACTTAGTCGTCAGGGGTGACAACGCATGCACATTTTAATTTTTAATCGAGGATAGATGGGGATGTCTATTGGCCACAGCATCCACTTACCATGAGGTGGATTGTGTGCTCATTTGTCCCCGTTATCCTATAAAGAAGAGAAAACATGCGTACATTGTATTGCCGTGGCGCAGGTAAACGCAACGTGGTGGTGCGACGCGCGCACACGCGGCTGGTGCAGGGTGAGCTGGTTCCCGTGGAGCTGACGGCCGCCTGCTTCGACCCTGCGAACCAGCTGCTGCTCACCGGCGCCAGGGACGGCACGCTCAAGGTCTTGTATCTCCTCCCTTACTTCTTATCCTTACAGCCTGTCAAAAGACCACTGCTGAACATGGACCTCCCCCATAGATTACCTTATAAGGGGACAATTCGCTTTAGTTACCACGCTTGGCGGGCGGTTTGGCAACTGCAAATTTTAATTATATTGGGCTATAATCAGAAAGCTGCTGCCCATCTTCATTCCCACTATACACAGAATACCTATTGAAAGGATTTTCTACTTTACTTCTTGTAGGGAAATACCTCAATTTATATCTTAAATATCTTATATCTCCTACTGTCTGATAATTCATCCGATTTCCGAAATTCCCCCGATTGGAAGAGAAACAATGTATACATTGTGATAACAAAAAATCCATATTGCAAAAAATACATTGATTGCAAGTTCCACTGTGATCGTCGTGATGTACGATTCGTACGTGGTAGAGCCATGCTGCAGCTATATTATGATTGTAGTACGAATGAGTCTGACTAAATGAGACTGAATGAGAATGAGTAGTAAAACAGCAGCTTAATACTGCTGTGTTTCATATGGTGAGTGTAGAGAGACCCTTTTCACTGAAAACGAGACATTCGATCTTTGTCTTCCGGGGTGACAATGCATCTCCATTTTGAGTCTTAATCAGGATGGATGTAGATGTCTATGGGCTACAGCATCCAGTGACCATCTGGTGAACTGTGTGTATATAGTTTATGAGTTATTGATGATATTAATAATAATCCACTATAACAACCGCTTTATTATTATTTAAATTTAAAACTAACTATGCATGAATAACTAAAAAAAATGCATTATCGCATATTAACATAATGCTTTTGTTTAGACGTGGAACTTTAACACTGGCGTATGCTTGAGAAAAATGGAGATTGAACACATGTGCGAGGTTACCAGCTGTTTTTGGGTAGAAGGAAGGTCTGTTTACTTGAATTTTAAATTGTTATACTTAAAATGTATTACTCATTTCATTTTGAGTTGTTGAGATGTTGCATGATGACGTTGTATAGATAAATAAATTTGTTAAATTTTACTTTCAATAGAAAGAATGGATAATCCGAAAAAAATTGTCATATAATTAATGAAATAAAAAAAATATTAATGAACGGGACGGTTTACAATAGTGAAATTCAAAAGGCTTCCTGAAGATTAAAATCTAAAGTTAACAAAAGAAATCAAAGTGAAGTTCAGTTTTTTGAAAGATATCTTGTTCACATCCGTACCGAACAACAAACGTTCAAGTGCAATTATTTGCAATTAACTTTTTTTTTAATAATAATCGAAATAAATAATCTTATAACTACGTCAGAAATATTAATTGAAATCTCTTGCTATTGGTGTACTTTTTTATTATATAAGTGCAATATGAAGATTCCACCATGATACGTGATATAAGTTGAATGGATCGCGATGTTTTGATTTGGTAACAATAGAACACTACATCTCCGCTTTACGTTCGATGTGTGCAATTGGAGTCATTCGAATGAACAGGATAATCTTCTTTCTTCATAATAAAATAATATACACAGAACCTGCGAAGAACTTCGCACTCGGCACTCTTATCTTACACTCTGATGATATATGTAATGATGCAAGGATAAAAAGATAAAACCTAAGAAAAAGGTTGGCTACCCCGTTTACATCGTCAAAGGTCAATGTACGTTTTTCCGCCTGCTCTAGAAACATACTATACCTGGGACGCAGAGGCCGTCGTAACTACCTTCAAAGACCGCGACTGTTAGATAACGAAAAACGAGACAGTGTCTAGGTACCATATCTATTTATTTAAAACATAAAAATCTTTTATGTTTTAAATAAATAGATTGACTTGGCAATCGCACTAAACAATCTAATTTAATATAATATGTATTACTTGAGAGATATACTTATTGTGTTTTCATGCGATGGCCAAGTCAATCTATGTATTTAAAACATATAAGATTTTTAATATTGATATGGTCACTATAAGATGTTGTTAGGTTAGCTAATTACGGAATAACTTAAGACAGAAGGACCCTTAAGTATGGACTGAATAAATTAACCGATTTGGTATTACATGGATCACACAACTTTTTACGGTAGAAGAACTGAGTTGCGAGACTTGGTTTTTTTACAAGTTGTGTTTTTGACGGCATAACTTTTTCTTTGACTATGACTTTGCGACGCAATATTTATCTTTTTATAATAGTCAATATATGTAGTAAACCCTTAATTTAAAAGTTTTAAAATCATGTTATTAAATTGAGCCAATCTTGAACTGAACTTCTTAGAGTTTTTAGGCTTTAATCGGCTTCGACTTCGGCCAGAAATTCACTATTTAAAGACATTATTTATTAATAAGAAATAAAAATCGGGGTAGGTATTGTTGTACCATGGACACAGCCGTGTGTTTTACGTGAATACGTGTACGATGTATGTAACGAACCGATTTCAAAATGGCGGCGCTCCCCCCTCCGCCGCGCGAGATGCGTCACAATCGTCACGCAATGAAACGAATTCTTTGATCCTTTAGCTATCGAGTGGTGTAATTAAATTTTGAATGCTGTAGTTTTCTCAATTGCCTCCCACTATGGAAGGAAAATTAAAGACGTATTCACGTCAAAAGCGTAAGATTAAGTGTGGTGTCAGGATCCTCGCGGTGGGGTGGAACCGGCACGTAACGGAGTTCGAAGAGGGCGGGTTGTCGTCGCTGGGCAAGGCGTGGGAGACGCGGCACAGCGATGACGTGCTGGCGGCCGCCGCGCGCCCCCCACTCTCGCTCGCCACCGCCTCCTACGCCTCGGAGTTGCTGCTCTGGAAGCTGGAGACCGGCCAGGCCTACAGGTGCGCGTAACCCTTGACTATAGTGCTCAGTAATAATGTCCTCCACCTCCACACTATTCCTTGACTGTACCGCTCAGTAATAATATCCTGTATAATGAATTTCGGTTTCAGCGGCTCTCAACGGAGACTAGCCATCTGTACATTGCATTCTGTCGTTAGCTAATATTATTTGACAGTCTTATAAGTCTGTCCGCTTAGATACGGTCGCCTTTGTGTCGCGCCGCCTTGGTACGTGCCGCATTTTGTCAATGGCGTCGCCGTGACATTAAAGGTCGCCGCGTACAACCGAAGGAGAATTTGGCATTTTAAAACGAAGAGTTCTTTGCTACCTAGCTTGTTTATATTATGTATTTATATGCGAATAAAATAGTATTCTATTTTATTCTTAGATTAGAAAAACATTTATTTAGCAAACAGTAAAAAATAATAAAATAAAAGTGAGTGGAAAAGTGAGTGAGTGAAGGAAAAGAAAGTGAGATTGCGCCTCCGGGTGTACTGACACTATCTTAGCGAACAGACTATACTGATGCGGAGTTGACCACTTTGTTTATATTTTCACTTGTGTATTTCCTACTACTACTAATATGTCTCTTATTGCATATCAAAATCAGTGTCTCGATTATAGCAATTGGCTGGACATATAGATCGAACAAGGGACATATGGGGGAGAAAGGTTCTCGAGTGGCAGTTCTGCACCGGTAAGTAAAGTGTAGGGGCTCCCCACTAGATAGAGTGACCATACAGGAAGTCAATGGATGCAACTAGCTCATGGCCATGTACAATTTGTATTTTAAAATTATATTTACTTGAAAGGATATCCCACTTACTCTACCTATGTAATCTATGATCTTTCTAAATAAATAAACAACTTTTCAATCTATTTCAATTTTTAATCGGTGCTATACGTGGTGCCCAGACGGTTCTCGTGTACGGAGCCGACACTGCGTATCAAGATGCAGTACAGCAAGCGCGCCGCGTCGCCGCAACCCACCCCCGCGACACCGTCTCAACCGCATCGCGTCTCCGCTGTCTTCCGACCCAGGTTCATTTCCACCACGGATTACACCATTTATTGTCTTTTGTGTACAATATGGTTTCCATTTGACGAAGTTATTTGTTTGTAGTATGCGATTGAATTTAATTAATTTTGCGGTATTTCTTAGGGGATGCATATGTTCAGCAGTATACTTGTGAAGGACTGTAATGATGATGATGACGATGCGATCTTATTTAATTGACCGTGTAGTGGTGGTGTAAGAATATACCCCATATCGCCCCTTGGGTGTCGTAAGAGGCGGCAGAGGGAAACTGAATCAGGAGATGGGCAGCAGCGTCTACTTGATAACGACTCAAAATTATAAAAAAACTGCGGTTGCCAATCCTCCTGTCAAGCGTGGCAACTATGGCAAACCCCCGTCCCCTATGAGGCAATCTATGGGTGAGGTTTATGTTCAGCTGTGGGTTCTTATAGGCTGTAACGGTAACGGAGCCTCTCCCATTGAAGATAGGATTATTTCCGGAGGACTTTAGGAGGAGAGGAGAGATTGGATTGACGATCAGTTCAATACTAGACGTTTCGTACCTTTGCTGCTGCATCGTCCCTTTGTTCGCAAGGTCGCAAGAGATTGAAAAAAAAAACAGTGTCTCTCTATAATTAGTGAGAGAGAGCTGAGGTGTTTGACGTCCCGATCTAACCTTTTGAATGTTAATTTTTGAAATTCAATTTAATATTGAAGTTAAAGGTAGCCCGGGACAATGACATTCCCCCCTCAGACATTAAAGTAAGGCGATGCTGCCCATCTTCTGGTTTATTTCTCCTTGTCGCCTCTCACAACACCCACCGGACGATATGGTTTAGTGGATATTCTTACACCGTCATTACACACTACTGACACTGACAGTGTTTTACTGGACTCTATCTCCCATGGCCCCACCAACCTTGCCCTTTCTTGAATCTCTACAAGTTATTTATTCTGATTCTTGTCCCATGTATTCACTCCCTTTCTGGGCATGACAAACACATTAAGCCTTCGGTTCTGGGCTGATCTTCGGTTATATATCTCCTCTCCATGACAGTTCTCCGCACATGCCATCTATACGCAAACTCGCGCAACCAGCCAAAGTCTATAGCCTTACCGTCAACGAGGTCCGGGTAACCTCCGCGTACCATTCCATCCATCATCTTACACCGCAGGTCATCATAAAGCACGCACTCCCACAGGACATGGTGCCTATCTCCGTAAGCCGCTTCACACTCACATATATTAGGTTGAACCAATTTCATATCAAACAATTTCTTCCTGAAACATCCATGCTCACCGAGGATCTGTGAAACTTGGTAGTGCCGCACGACCCATTTTGCATTGAGTTGCGTCGCCACGTACGGGAAAAAGTGGAATAATTGCCTGCCATCATCTCATTCATCCATCGTTCCTGCCATGCATTCATAACTTCAGCTTTCCACCAGCTTACACCAGCTCTACCCCCCCCCCCCCCCATTATATGTGTTTTTACGCACTTGGTCAATTCTACGTGCACGTATGACCTCCAGATCGGCCGGAAGGACGCCGGCTAATACCGGAAGCGCCGCAGTACTTATTGTACTAGCCCTTTGACAGCAACACGGGTGAGAATCTCTGCGATTTCAGCAGTGCCGCACTGTATAATTCCCCACCCAGTTAACCCAAAAGGCCGCAGCAGTTTTATTGGACTATTGACAGTGGACTAAAACACCCTTACTTCCCCAGCTTGAGCCCGAGGGGCCGAGGCCGGCGCGTATCGAGCGTTTCGCTGCCGGCACAGGTGCAACGCATGCGCCAGCTCGCCGTGCACGCCATGATATTCCTGGAGACGCGCCCCTTCAGCATGCATGTCGGTGAGCAAGAGCATGCATTTAGCGAGGCAACGATAGCTTGATCTCTTAATCAGATCTCCAGCTTATGAAATGCCAGCTATAAATTTCGCAAGACATTATGATTTCTTATAATAGTTACGCAAATACTACACATGGAATAAAAGTAATTTAACAGATTTTACTAAACGACAGGAATTAAAAGAGTTAAAATTGTTTTTATTCCATTCGCAAGACATTTGTACCATAGTAAGTGTGAAAACCGAGAACACAATCCACCTTTTTTATAGTAGACGGGTATACGAACATGCGGCTTACCTGATGGTAAGTGTCGTCCGCCGCCTGAACATCTGCAACACCATGGGAATTGCACGTGCGTTTCCGGAAAGAGTTAGCTCGTTTCATGGAGGCCCTAAGTCGTATTGATGCGGAAAAATCACCGTTGGTAAACAAAACCACCTGATGGTAAGCGGATGATGTAGCCCATTTCATTTATTCGCAACCAAGTATCGATATTCCGTACAGTGGCGGTGTAGGAATACCCACTAGCCTATATAATCCCGTGGTTGTAGTAAGGAGCAGCAGAGGAAAGTAAAAAATGAGCATGAAGTAGTGAGAAAACAATGAAAATGAGAATAAACATACTTTTCAAGCGAGCCGGCAAATATGAGGCTATCTATAAGGTAGGCCTATGTTCAATAGTGGACTTTGAGAAGCTGTAATGGATGGATGAATGAAGAACCAAAATGCAGGTGCGTTGTCATTCCTGAGGATTAAAATGGAATGCCTTTTTACAAGTAAAATGGTCTCCTCATTTCCTCACTCACACAAATATCAATGTTGAACTCTACTCTTGATGAACATCAAGAGGTTATATAAAGAGGTTAAAAATTAATAGATCTTGAAAATTTTTCTACAGCATCGCTCATGCTTGCTCTGGAGAACGGACAAGTGCAATGCTGGTCCGACCACCCGGCTGGTGGGTACAAAGGTTCGTTCCAAGGCATCCACACAGCCGGAGACTATGTGTCCGCGTTCGCCACGGATGTCAATAACGATTACCTGTTCACTGGCACCACCGTGGGCTATGTTAAAGTTTGGCTCATGACCAACTACCTCACTGAAGAGAAGGTAAATATTTATTACAAATGTTCGTTAATTTTTTTCACCATTTGTTTCAAAACTGGAAGAGTGTGCACATTGTATAGACAGATTGCTAAAAAACTGTTTTAATTACGCAAAAAATTATACCTTAAAATTTCATCATCATTCATCATTACATCCCTTCACAAGTCCTCTGCATAACATAGGCCTCTCACAAGGAACGCCACAATAGCACGGTCCTGAGCCATCTGCATCCATCGACTTTCCGCATGTCTTACCAGGTCGTCACTCCGTCTACTGGGTGGCCGCCGTCTACAGTTCGCTTACCGGAACGAGGCTGTCACTCGAGAACCTTGCTTCCCCATCGATTGTCGGTTCTTTGTGCTACATGGCCGTCCTTTTGTCACTACAGCTTACGGATCCGTTGGGCTATGTCGGTTACTCTAGTTCTATCGCGTATATCCTCATTTCTAAGTTTATCACGCAGAAAAACCTCGAGCATAGCTCTCTCTCTCTTTATACCTCGCTGAGCGACCTTGAGCTTCCCTTTGTGGTTCTCTACCCTCACTATACAAAACATAGCAGCATTGAGCTGTTATTTTACACTGGCTTTCTGTGAGAGCGTAGTTCTTCTCTGGTCCGAGAAGGAACAACTCATCTCTTCGTGCTACAACCATAATATAGCTGCAGCATGGGTCTACCAAGTAAAAAAGATTGTGTTTGTTTGAGTAGGTGCACATCAGCATGCCTCGGCTGCGGCTGCGGTTCCCGTTCCTGTGGCGCGACCGCGTGGAGGGGCGCGCCAAGCGCAGCGTGCGCGACCAGCCGCTGCCGCTGCTGCTCAACAGCTACCGCGCGCACCTGCGCTGCGTCACCTCCCTCGCGTACCTCGACCACCACGAGCTGCTGCTTACGTCAGTGCTCCTCTATAAAATGGAATGGGATGGGATCAAATGGAACGGAATGGATTGGAATGGAATGTCTTTTATTCAATGTAGATTGTTAAATTGTCACGGCTCTCAAAGCCCCTGAGCTGTGGTAGCTCAGGAGCTTAACGTTCACTGTAAATTTTATAGTACCCGAGCAACCCGGGTTCGATCCCAGTCACCACCAATGAAATTTGTCAATTGCAATTATATTTGCCACGTGCTCGGTGGTGAAGAAAAACGTCGTGAGGAAACCTGCATGTCTGAGAAAAAAATTATTTCGAAGACATATGAAGTCCGCCAACACGCATTGGGGCATCGCGGCGAACACTTCCTTGCCCTAAAACCCTCTCAGAAGTTAGAAGAAACCTATGCCCTGCCGTGGGACGTGTATAGGCTGTAACTTTACTTTACTTTAGATTGTTACACAAATAGTTATTGAAAGTAATTTTTTTATTTACCACTGCTTCACCCATCTTGAGGTTACCTCGTTGTTCCAGTGATCGTTAGCGTGATTTTAATTGGTTCATAAAACTGGAATTAAATATATTTAAATGAAACTACTTTTAGGAATTTTATTGCATACATTAACTTATTTTATATTCCCGACGTTCGTTAATTTTTATCTGGAGGTAACCGTGGTTAACTATGACATTGGGACGTCAAACACCTCAGACCCCCCCCCCCCCCCCGTGACCATGGGTGCAGTAAAGTGCTCGAAACGTCGGGAATATAAAATAAGTTAATATACGCGATAAAATCCGTAATCCGATAATACATAAAAGTGTTTCTTAAAAACAAGCCGTTGAAATAAGGAGTTTGTTGCTGATGCCGGCAGTGGAAGCTCGGACTACAGCGTGCGCGTGTGGCGGCTGTCAGGCGAATACCTACAGACGCTGGGCAGCTTTGTGCCCTGGACCCTAGACACCACGCGGTTCCCGCCAGACGTGAAGAAAGTCGCCAGTTCTACTACTTTCAAGGTATTTACATACAAGCTTGTAGGATTAAATTATTTACACTAAAACAATCTTAAGGAGTTTAGGAGAAATGTTGCATGTTTAAGTCCACCTACAAAATATTTCAGAAGCATAAAGTTCTTTATAGTTATATCTATGCTTATATGTTATAAAAAATCTCCCATCCATTTACAAATAGCGTCTATATTTTGTTTTTTATTAATTGCGTTTCTCTGAAAATACAAGTTTTATTTAAATTAAACAATTACAACAAATATAGTTTATAATGTTAGCAGTAGATAAACAAAGATATTTACATGAAAATACAAGAAACAACATTTAAAGCCTTTATTTCGGGATTTGTTACTAATTGATATTAATATTTACGAATTCACAATTTCTAAACTCTAACCTCCAAGACACATAGCACATGACATTCGGCTCCTGTCCTGTCAGCTGTCAGATGTCAAGTATAGGATCTGTCACTTTTAGGCTGTGTCGCTATGGCGGTAATATTCAGTAATAAAGAAAAGCTACTTCCAAGTATTAAACGTGATGGAGATTTTCTTTACATCTCCCCCCCCAAGAGAAAACAATTGCGAAGGGATAATGTCCGCAATTGTTTATTTATAATCAATTGCGGACATACAATATATGTTTATAATAATACTGGAGATAGTTTTGTAATGTGGTAGAAATTCGATTCCGCTTTCCTGTGTCGGGTGTCAATGTCATAGATTGAATTTGAAATCTTCTTTAGAAATATATATGGTTTTTTTTTATGGTAAGTGATTACCGCCGCCCATGAACAACCGCAACAACAGGGGAACTGCAGATGCGTTGCCGGCCTTTTAAAAAGGAGTAGTCTCTATTCTTGATGGTCCCTAAGACGTATCGGTCCGGAAAAATCGCTGGTGGTAAATTATTCCACAAGGAAGTTGTGCGAGGAAGAAAACATCTTCTAAATCGCACAGTGGTGGACCGCCAATCATCCAGATGGTGTGTATGGTATTGGGAGTTCTGCCGCGATGGGCGTTCGTGAAATTTGGCGGCTGGGATTAATCCGAACAATTCCTCAGAGCACTCCCCGTAGTAAATGCGAAACAAAATGAAAAGATATGCAACATCTCTTCGCAACACCAATGAGTCGAGCCGATCAGAAAGGACTCGGTCGTCGAAGATACGAGCCGCTCTGCGCTGGATGAGGTCAAGTGGAAGGAGCTGGCACTGGAGAACCCCAGCCCAGGGATGGGAACAGTATTCCATGTGAGGCCGAACCTGCGCCTTGTAAAGTTGCAGGCGTTGTGCCGGCATGAAATACTGTCCCGCTGTGCTGAGCACGTCAAGCTTTTTAGAGGCCAATTTGGCCTTCTCTTCCAAGTGACCACGAAACTGCACTGCACGTCACTCGATATGTCGACGCCGAGGATTCCGATACTGGCTGAGGCAATAAGGGGAGTACCTTGAAACTGAGGAGATACCACAAAGGGGTTCTTTTTAGCGGTAAACGCGCAAACTTATGTCTTCTGAGGATTAAACTAGACTAGATTTAGTCGCCCCCAATCCGAGACTTTATCCAGCAAACACTCGACTTCAGACACAAGTTTGTTCCGGTTCTCGGCGACGTTTTCCCGAGAAATATTGGCACGGCCGGTGTAAAGAGCATCACCAGTGCTGTCATCCGCATAGCAATGAATGCTACCGGTTCGCAACATATCATTGATATGCAGAAGAAACAGCGTTGTGTAACACCAACGTTAATAGGCTTGTAGTCGGAGCATGCACCGTCTACAACGACCTTGATGCTCCGATCTGCAAGACAGCTGGTGATCCAATTGCATAAATAATTCTCGGGAAGCCCATAGGAAGGGAGCTTCGAAAGAAGCGCTTTGTGCCAATTCTCAATTCATCCATTTTCTTTCTATTTAGCCGATTCCCATTTTCAACGTAGACTCTATCTCCCGCTTCTTATTTATATTCTTCCCTATGTAGATCAAACATTTTTTATTGTAATTGTGGGATTTAATTGTGTTTTTATAGGCCAACTTCCTATTTCTGTCATTTATAGTACATTTTGTTTTCAATTCGAGTGGTAAAATATTTATAGTTTCGCCTTCCAAAAGATATTTCGGAGCAAACTTTGTTACTGTGTGTCCTGTTTCATTATATTTTTCTACACATTTCTGTGCGATAGTTGTCCAGGCTATTTTCTTATTGCTTTCATTTATTTTACATCTTATTTTATTGATCAAAGTTTGGTTTAGCCTTTCATTAAGCCCATTGGAAAATGGAGCATCAACGGCAATATACACCATTTCTATATTTTACTTCTTTAGAAATTCTTTAAAGTCTTTGGAATTTATTCCAGGGTATTGATCCGTTAACACCATATCAATCTTGTAACTCTGTGTTACGTTTTTTATTAGTTTAATAAAATCATTGGAGCTTTGACTTTTTGATGTGTAAATATAGGCGTACCCTGTGAAATGATCAACTGGGAGGTGTCAATATCGTTTTGTGCACCGTAATCCTCCAAAACCTCCTATGGTGTCAATAGCTACGATTTCAAAAGGGTGTGTTGCTGGAGCCAAATGTGACATTAATCCATATTTTGACCTCCTCCTTGACTTGTTGTTTATACAAAATTCACATTTATTGCAAAATTGTTTGATATTCATGACAATATACGTATTATCAGCTGTGTTGAATGGTGTTTTTTTATTTATCATTTGTGTTCTGCCAATGTTGCAGTATTTGTCGTGAACGTCTTTTATTAAAGTTTTGCTAAGTTCTTCCGATAGTGTGATCTTTTTCCTCTTTTTATACTTTTTGTATTAAATTCTATTTTCCAACACGAATTTTGTTTTGTGGTATTGTAAATCTAGATTTGTATGTTGGTCGTCTTTAATATCATACAGGTTTATTAAATTTACAACTTTTAATAAGACCTCAGCATTATCATGTGGTTCTAGAACTAGATTACAGCTTAAATAGTCGGCTTCTTGATTTAATTTCCCTGGGTTATATTTTATTTCAAAATTATATTGGGATAAATAGTATGTTAGATCGCCTAGTTCTTCATCAGTCCTAGCTTTGATATTTATATGTTCCAGTAGTTTATGATCTGAGTACACCACAAATTCTTTTCCCATAAGCCAGTGCTGCCAGTATTTCACTACTTCTTTTATGGCCAGACATTCTAGATATATTGCCTTCTTATTTTTCTGTGCTTCAAATAACTTTTTGAAAAATAAGCAACTGGCTTACTGCCTCCATTTACATCTGCCTGTTTCAACACCGCACCTCTTTTGATATTGGCATCTGTGTAAATATTAATCGGTTGTTCAGGATCATAGATTTTCAAAATTGGTTTTGAGCACAGCAATGTTTTTATTTTCTCAAATGAGTCCTGACATTTATTTATTTTATTTATTCTTTATTGCATTCCATAAAAGAAAAGAACACAAAGGGCGGACTTAATGTCTTGAGGCATTCTCTACCAGTCAACCCATTCTGCAGACCATATGAATTTCACATCTTTTCTCAATAAATTGTGTAGCGGGTCCAGGATAATTGCACTGCGTGGTATGAATTTGTGATGAAAATTATTTTTTCCTAGGAATTGACGTACATTTTTTCTTGTTTGTGGAACCGGAAAGTTTTTCACAGCAGTTAAATAATATTTCAGAGGGTTCATCGAGTTATTTCCTATTTTGTAACCCAAGTATTTGGCATTATTATTAGCAAAAGTACACATCGAGAATCCTAGTCTAAGGACTTCTGTTTGTATTGCCTCCAGCAGTTTTGATATATGTACTATGTGTTCCTCAAAAGTTTTTGAGAAAATTAAAATGTCATCGATAAAATTTACTGCAAAATTAGACAGTTCATGCTTCCGTATGATGTTATACAATATTCTTCAGAAAATTGCTGGAGTTATCTTCAGTGCAAATGGGAGATACTTCCATTGAAAATTCAGGGGAAATTCAATCGTGAATTTTCAGGGGTATAGACCAAAATGTTGAATTTATATCCAAAGTTGAAAAATACTTACAGTTTACAGTCCTTACCATTAAATCTTCAATCAACACACAAGGTTGTGATTGAGGAACAACAATTTTGTTTAATTCTCTGTCGATACACAACCTTGTTTTTTTTTCACCTTATTTTTTATAAGCCAAAGTTATTGGAGCGGCGAATGGACTGTAAGATTCGAATGAACTGAAAGGTTTGATACCTGGCTTTCTATTTCTTTTCTATCTTCTGCTGTGCATCTGTATGGGCGTTTGTAGCAGTATTTATCCATCATTAAATCAATATGAGCTTCATAATCTCGTACAGTGCCAACATCATATTTGTGTTTAGCGAAAACTGATTTGTGTTTTTCTATCAAGTTATTAATCTTCGATTGTTTGTGTAAATCCAGGCGGTTCAGGAATATTTTAAATTCACCTGACTTTATATGTTCATTGAAATTTATTTCACATTTGGGTATCTGTTTATTTTCTTGTTCCTTCAAAATCATGGAATTTAACAAGAATTTCTCTCCGTTTTTTTCATCAATGTTACATTGTTTGATTTTTAATTATTCATTTTGTATTAATTTGAAATCTTTGATGCAATCCAAACCAATGAGGAAGTCATAGTTAAAATTTCCATTATCTGCTACAAAAATGTCCATAGTCCTTTCAATATTATATATTTTTATTTTAAGTGTTACCATACCTATTGTTTTCTTCTCACCATTAATATTTTTTCAGTTTACCATCTGCATATCATTTATATTATTGTGTTGTATCTTCAATAATTTAGCATTTACTAATGACACATTTGAGCCGGAGCCATAAATTCCAGAGACTTAATTTTTATTAATGGTGGTTTACCTTTAGTTTTTTGGGTTTTTCTCATTTATAAAAGCTTATACAAAAATTTACTTCGCAAATATCCGCGTTATAAAATAAATTAAACTAAATGAGAAATGTAAACTGAACTAAATGAGAAAAAAAAATTTCTCATTTAGTTTAATTTACAATTCAGAGTTATTTACTGTTTTGACAACCGGTTTTTGATTTTATTTTTAAACCAGCGCTTTTCATCTGGATGGTAACGCTTTCCTTTTTTTCAGTAATGCAGATTTAGCATGGTACTTTTTCTTCAACTTTTTTGGATTTTGTGTCAGAATATGTATTGGTATTCTTCCCATGTTTATTTTTGTCAACAAGATGTTCCTATTTTCCAATTTCACTATAGAGATCTTCCGATTCTTGTAGTGTTTCTCTGTCAATTTTATCTGCCACATAACAAGGTAAGCCAGACGCTGTAAGGTCTATCAATGTCCCAGTGTCAATAGACTTCCTTACTTACAGTGACAGTTTTTCTTTTTTTAAATCATATTCGAGAAAAGAACCTGTTTGGTATTTAAACATAAGGGCATGTCTAATAGGTGACCATCCTTTGTTTGCAAATGTCTCACAGAAATTTTACTCCCATTTTGTCCACTCTGAGTCCATTGTAAGTTTAATTAGCATGCAGCTACGAGTATACCAATCCGCACAAGAGGTTTCCAAAAATTTTTTTAGGATTTCAATTTTCTTCCTATCTTTGGTAATTTGAAACCGTTCACATTCTTTATTAAAGTCCTTGATCCATTGGAAAGCATTTGAGTTTCTGCATGTGTACTTCTCAATCATAAAATCTTTTGCAATTTTCCCCAAATTCTGAGATTCAGATTTTTTTCTTTTTCTTCGAGTAACTACTCTAAGATTTTTCTAATGTATGATTTGAGCCGATAGGTGTACCCGTAAATTCAGCATTATCTGTTTTCTCCAAAATCTCTTTAGATAGAAATCATTAAACTGTAAGTTTGTTCTTCATCCAAGTATGTTTTAAATATATCATCTGTCAAAGCTATCCACATTTTACTTGTTTGGTGTCTTTTATTTAATGATTTTTTTACCTTGACATAGTTGGGAGTACTTATTATTGATCGATGTAGATTTGTACTCTGGTATTACAAAAATCTGTCCATCAGGCGTAGATATTAAGGTTATGCATAAGATATTTGGTTTTCCATCTTGTGATGGTTTTACAGCGAAATCAAACCTCAGCTTTTCCATATTTCTTCAAATAATTGCAAAAAATGTTGTTTTATAATAGTATTATCCGTTTAGAATAAATAACCAAAAACGTAATTGCGTTTCTCTGAAAATACAAGATTTATTTAAATTAAACACTTACAAAAAATATAGTTTATGTCATTAGCAGTAAATAAACAAAGATATTTACCTGAAAATACAAGAAACAACATTTAAAGCCTTTATTTCGGGATTTGTGTACTTATTGATATTAATACTTACGAATTCACAATTTCTAAAGTCTAACATCCAAGACCATAGAGATAGTTTCCAAGACACATGGCACATGACATTCGGCTCCTGTCCTGTCAGCTGTCAGATGTCAAGGCAAGGAGGTTATAATATATATTTTACAATCTCCTTGTGTCAAGTATAGGATCTGTCATTTTTAGGCTGTGTCGCCATGGCGGTAATATTCAATAATAAAGAAAAGCTACTTCGAAGTATTAAACATGATGGAGATTTTACATATGATTTACATATATCTTGATATATAAAAATTACGTGCCACGTTGTTTGTTCGCGATGAACTCCTAAACTACTGGACTAATTTCAATGAAATTTGCACACTCTGTGCAGTTTGGTCCAACTTGAGATATAGGATAGTTTTTATCCTGATAATTGACACTTAATATTTTTTATTACGAATTTAATAATTTTTATAGGACACAGGGTCGGTGGAGAGGGCAGAACAACGTCTGCCTGGCCAGCTAGTATATATATATATATATATATATATATATATATATATATATATATATATATACGAGTATATACCGTTATTGCAGTTTATAAAAATACGAGTTAATAAGACTTCTACTTTTATTGGAAATTATCCCAAACTGAGTGTGATTTATGGGCAAAAACTACGCTACGCGTAAGTGCGCTCCTCTGTATGCAGTCACAAATTTATATTTTTTTTTTATAGGATAAGGGTGACAAACGAGCACACAGTCCACCTGATGGTAAGTGGTTGCTGCGGCCCATAGACATCTACATCTATCCTCTGTTACAAATCAAAATGTAGATGCGTTGCCACCCGTGAGGACTAAGATGGAATGCCTCATTTCCAGTAAAAAGGGCCTCCGGCCACCTGCACTCACCAAGCGAAACGCAGAGATAAACCTCTACTTCACGCTGGTTTTCTGTGAGGTCGTGGTACTACCCCGGTTCGAGCCGGCCCATCCGTGCGACAGCAAAAGCTGCCGCGTAGCTCTACCACCGTTATAGCCGACTTACGAATAAACTTTCTGCCCTTACGACTTACGAATGTGTGCCTGCGTTGTAATTTTACGTCTATTTAGTAGGCGTTAAATTATTTTATTAGGGTCGCTCCTTTACGAATGTGTGCGCACGTAGTAAAATAGCAGGTGTTAGATAATTATGAATGACAATCAGTTAAAATAATGAATTATTTTGAATTTAAAAGATAAAAGTACAGAAACTTTGAGAATTTTCTATGAATTTTTCTTCACCATTTGCCTATATTACTTGTTCTGAACCTTTTCTGCAAATTTGGCTAGTTATTGTAAAAATTGCAAGTGTGTGGCGGGGTTTTGGCGGAAACTTGGTTGCAGGCTAATCGCTGCTTTGTCGTATTATTAATGGTGAAAAACTTCAAAAGTGGGTTTAGATGCGTAAAATGCTCTATAATACATTTTTGTGTTGTAAGTGTATGCGCATGTGAACTATTAGTGGATACGATGAAACACGTGATTTCATGGTGACGTGAACCTAAAATAAAGCCTCTGCTACGGCGAGTGATGTTATTAAAGTAGCTACTACACCAAACTGTATCCCTCGATTTTGTAATGGTTAGCTTTCGGAATTACCTCCCATTAAGGATACAAATTTAAAGAAGTTTTGACGTGAAGTGTGTGGCGTGCAGGTGTGGCGCGGAGGCCATGTGTCTCGCTACGTGCCAGGGCGCGTGGCGCCGGACGTATCGGACGTGGGCGCGGCCGAGCTGCGCACGCGCACGTGGGGCGCGGCGCCGCGCGGCGCGCTGCTGGGCGCACACACGGCGCTGCCGCCGCGCCCCGACCCGCAGCCGCCGCCGCGCCTCGACCGCTCGCTGCCCACCGTGCGTACACACTGCACACTGCACACTGCCCACCGTGCGTACACACTGCACACTGCACACTGCCCACCGTGCATACACACTGCACACTGCACACTGTGCGGCGCGCTGCTGGGCGCACACAAGGCGCTGCCGCCGCGCCCCGACCCGCAGCCGCCGCCGCGCCTCGACCGCTCGCTGCCCACCGTGCGTACACACTGCACACTGCACACTGCCCACCGTGCGTACACACTGCACACTGCACACTGCCCACCGTGCATACACACTGCACACTGCACACTGTGCGGCGCGCTGCTGGGCGCACACACGGCGCTGCCGCCGCGCCCCGACCCGCAGCCGCCGCCGCGCCTCGACCGCTCGCTGCCCACCGTGCGTACACACTGCACACTGCACACTGCCCACCGTGCATACACACTGCACACTGCACACTGTGCGGCGCGCTGCTGGGCGCACACACGGCGCTGCCGCCGCGCCCCGACCCGCAGCCGCCGCCGCGCCTCGACCGCTCGCTGCCCACCGTGCGTACACACTGCACACTGCACACTGCCCACCGTGCGTACACACTGCACACTGCACACTGCCCACCGTGCATACACACTGCACACTGCACACTGTGCGGCGCGCTGCTGGGCGCACACAAGGCGCTGCCGCCGCGCCCCGACCCGCAGCCGCCGCCGCGCCTCGACCGCTCGCTGCCCACCGTGCGTACACACTGCACACTGCACACTGCCCACCGTGCGTACACACTGCACACTGCACGCTGCCCACCGTGCATACACACTGCACACTGCACACTGTGCGGCGCGCTGCTGGGCGCACACACGGCGCTGCCGCCGCGCCCCGACCCGCAGCCGCCGCCGCGCCTCGACCGCTCGCTGCCCACCGTGCGTACACACTGCACACTGCACACTGCCCACCGTGCATACACACTGCACACTGCACACTGTGCGGCGCGCTGCTGGGCGCACACACGGCGCTGCCGCCGCGCCCCGACCCGCAGCCGCCGCCGCGCCTCGACCGCTCGCTGCCCACCGTGCGTACACACTGCACACTGCACACTGCCCACCGTGCGTACACACTGCACACTGCACACTGCCCACCGTGCATACACACTGCACACTGCACACTGTGCGGCGCGCTGCTGGGCGCACACACGGCGCTGCCGCCGCGCCCCGACCCGCAGCCGCCGCCGCGCCTTGACCGCTCGCTGCCCACCGTGCGTACACACTGCACACTGCACACTGCCCACCGTGCGTACACACTGCACACTGCACACTGCCCACCGTGCATACACACTGCACACTGCACACTGTGCGGCGCGCTGCTGGGCGCACACACGGCGCTGCCGCCGCGCCCCGACCCGCAGCCGCCGCCGCGCCTTGACCGCTCGCTGCCCACCGTGCGTACACACTGCACACTGCCCACCGTGCGTACACACTGCACACTGCACACTGCCCACCGTGCATACACACTGCACACTGCACACTGTGCGGCGCGCTGCTGGGCGCACACACGGCGCTGCCGCCGCGCCCCGACCCGCAGCCGCCGCCGCGCCTTGACCGCTCGCTGCCCACCGTGCGTACACACTGCACACTGCACACTGCCCACCGTGCGTACACACTGCACACTGCACACTGCCCACCGTGCATACACACTGCACACTGCACACTGTGCGGCGCGCTGCTGGGCGCACACACGGCGCTGCCGCCGCGCCCCGACCCGCAGCCGCCGCCGCGCCTTGACCGCTCGCTGCCCACCGTGCGTACACACTGCACACTACACACTGCCCACCGTGCGTACACACTGCACACTGCACACTGCCCACCGTGCATACACACTGCACACTGCACACTGTGCGGCGCGCTGCTGGGCGCACACACGGCGCTGCCGCCGCGCCCCGACCCGCAGCCGCCGCCGCGCCTTGACCGCTCGCTGCCCACCGTGCGTACACACTGCACACTGCACACTGCCCACCGTGCGTACACACTGCACACTGCACCCTGCCCACCGTGCATACACACTGCACACTGCACACTGTGCGGCGCGCTGCTGGGCGCACACACGGCGCTGCCGCCGCGCCCCGACCCGCAGCCGCCGCCGCGCCTTGACCGCTCGCTGCCCACCGTGCGTACACACTGCACACTGCACACTGCCCACCGTGCGTACACACTGCACACTGCACACTGCCCACCGTGCATACACACTGCACACTGTGCGGTGCGCTGCTGGGCGCACACACGGCGCTGCCGCCGCGCCCCGACCCGCAGCCGCCGCCGCGCCTTGACCGCTCGCTGCCCACCGTTCGTACACACTGCACACTGCACACTGCCCACCGTGCGTACACACTGCACACTGCACACTGCCCACCGTGCATACACACTGCACACTGCACACTGTGCGGCGCGCTGCTGGGCGCACACACGGCGCTGCCGCCGCGCCCCGACCCGCAGCCGCCGCCGCGCCTTGACCGCTCGCTGCCCACCGTGCGTACACACTGCACACTGCACACTGCCCACCGTGCGTACACACTGCACACTGCACCCTGCCCACCGTGCATACACACTGCACACTGCACACTGTGCGGCGCGCTGCTGGGCGCACACACGGCGCTGCCGCCGCGCCCCGACCCGCAGCCGCCGCCGCGCCTTGACCGCTCGCTGCCCACCGTGCGTACACACTCCACACTGCACACTGCCCACCGAGCGTACACACTGCACACTGCACACTGCCCACCGTGCATACACACTGCACACTGCACACTGTGCGGCGCGCTGCTGGGTGCACACACGGCGCTGCCGCCGCGCCCCGACCCGCAGCCGCCGCCGCGCCTTGACCGCTCGCTGCCCACCGTGCGTACACACTGCACACTGCACACTGCCCACCGTGCGTACACACTGCACACTGCACACTGCCCACCGTGCATACACACTGCACACTGCACACTGTGCGGCGCGCTGCTGAGCGCACACACGGCGCTGCCGCCGCGCCCCGACCCGCAGCCGCCGCCGCGCCTTGACCGCTCGCTGCCCACCGTGCGTACACACTGCACACTGCACACTGCCCACCGTGCGTACACACTGCACACTGCACACTGCCCACCGTGCATACACACTGCACACTGCACACTGTGCGGCGCGCTGCTGGGCGCACACACGGCGCTGCCGCCGCGCCCCGACCCGCAGCCGCCGCCGCGCCTTGACCGCTCGCTGCCCACCGTGCGTACACACTGCACACTGCACACTGCCCACCGTGCGTACACACTGCACACTGCACCCTGCCCACCGTGCATACACACTGCACACTGCACACTGTGCGGCGCGCTGCTGGGCGCACACACGGCGCTGCCGCCGCGCCCCGACCCGCAGCCGCCGCCGCGCCTTGACCGCTCGCTGCCCACCGTGCGTACACACTGCACACTGCACACTGCCCACCGTGCGTACACACTGCACACTGCACCCTGCCCACCGTGCATACACACTGCACACTGCACACTGTGCGGCGCGCTGCTGGGCGCACACACGGCGCTGCCGCCGCGCCCCGACCCGCAGCCGCCGCCGCGCCTTGACCGCTCGCTGCCCACCGTGCGTACACACTGCACACTGCACACTGCCCACCGTGCGTACACACTGCACACTGCACCCTGCCCACCGTGCATACACACTGCACACTGCACACTGTGCGGCGCGCTGCTGGGCGCACACACGGCGCTGCCGCCGCGCCCCGACCCGCAGCCGCCGCCGCGCCTTGACCGCTCGCTGCCCACCGTGCGTACACACTGCACACTGCACACTGCCCACCGTGCGTACACACTGCACACTGCACACTGCCCACCGTGCATACACACTGCACACTGCACACTGTGCGGCGCGCTGCTGGGCGCACACACGGCGCTGCCGCCGCGCCCCGACCCGCAGCCGCCGCCGCGCCTTGACCGCTCGCTGCCCACCGTGCGTACACACTCCACACTGCACACTGCCCACCGAGCGTACACACTGCACACTGCACACTGCCCACCGTGCATACACACTGCACACTGCACACTGTGCGGCGCGCTGCTGGGCGCACACACGGCGCTGCCGCCGCGCCCCGACCCGCAGCCGCCGCCGCGCCTTGACCGCTCGCTGCCCACCGTGCGTACACACTGCACACTGCACACTGCCCACCGTGCGTACACACTGCACACTGCACACTGCCCACCGTGCATACACACTGCACACTGCACACTGTGCGGCGCGCTGCTGAGCGCACACACGGCGCTGCCGCCGCGCCCCGACCCGCAGCCGCCGCCGCGCCTTGACCGCTCGCTGCCCACCGTGCGTACACACTGCACACTGCACACTGCCCACCGTGCGTACACACTGCACACTGCACACTGCCCACCGTGCATACACACTGCACACTGCACACTGTGCGGCGCGCTGCTGGGCGCACACACGGCGCTGCCGCCGCGCCCCGACCAGCAGCCGCCGCCGCGCCTTGACCGCTCGCTGCCCACCGTGCGTACACACTGCACACTGCACACTGCCCACCGTGCGTACACACTGCACACTGCACACTGCCCACCGTGCATACACACTGCACACTGTGCGGTGCGCTGCTGGGCGCACACACGGCGCTGCCGCCGCGCCCCGACCCGCAGCCGCCGCCGCGCCTTGACCGCTCGCTGCCCACCGTGCGTACACACTGCACACTGCACACTGCCCACCGTGCGTACACACTGCACACTGCACACTGCCCACCGTGCATACACACTGCACACTGCACACTGTGCGGCGCGCTGCTGGGCGCACACACGGCGCTGCCGCTGCGCCCCGACCCGCAGCCGCCGCCGCGCCTTGACCGCTCGCTGCCCACCGTGCGTACACACTGCACACTGCACACTGCCCACCGTGCGTACACACTGCACACTGCACACTGCCCACCGTGCATACACACTGCACACTGCACACTGTGCGGCGCGCTGCTGGGCGCACACACGGCGCTGCCGCCGCGCCCCGACCCGA